CCCGTAAACGACGTTATACTGACTTTCCGTTTTGACTTTGGACAGTTTGTAGCCAATATTTGACACCTCATCCTCAGCTGTTACCCTGTAAATCTGTAAAGAATAATTAGAATTTACCCTTTAGTTTTCGAGAGGATTTTAATGAATTTCAAACTCAAACATACATATACAAATTCGGACACAGAACTTATCGCATGCGTTTCCGCCCTGAAATGTTCATTTTTTGTGTTATCTTCCTTCCTGGGCACTACATTAAATATTTAGGCTAAGGAAAGCACATACTAATTCAGAAATAAGAAACTATGATTCCTTAACAGATGATAGATTGACTTTTTAAATGTGATTGATCATTCATTTTTTCATTTTTTTTAGAGGGGATGTATTAATTGGATATTAAATCCTAGGCAGAAGTTCACGTCATTATTCCCGCCTTTTGTGGTATCTGAGGTGCAAACTGTTTGCAAAAAATTGTTACACACACACACACTAATCACATTTCAGGACACAATCAACTGCCAAATTCTAAAGTAGATAAGTTAGGCCTCACCATTTCCTTTAATATGTCACGGAAGCCACACATCCTCAACATTGCTATTCCTCTAATATGTCATGGAAGCCACACATCCTCAACATTCTTAAAACTGCTTCCCATTTTAGTGGATATGTTGTATTGATTTTATGTTCTGGAGAAAATAAGAGGTGGGTGCTCCATCTGCCAGGAAGACGTTATCAGATATTATCAGAGTTTCATCCTGGGTACAACGCTTCCTTCACTGCATTGTTTAGAGGGAGTCTACGATCAGTTGTGTTTTGTTGTTATTGTGTCGTGTTGTACTGTTATCGGGACCAAGACATATCTCTCTATCTGCCTCCTATGCTAGGCTGTGCCACCCAGTGTTGATCTCTTTTGTCATGTTCGATCGCTGTATGTACTCCAGTGTCACGAAGCGACCAGAATGCTTCTCTTGTGATTCTAAGCATTTTATGGTTGGCTGTTGTGCGATTCTTTTAAGAACATCTCTGTCGTAAGCAGACGAGAGTACAAACCAGATTGTCCTGACAAGTTTAAACTAAGGATAACAGGAAAGTGTTGTGAAGTTGTTGCAGCTTTGTCAGGCGGTCATTATTGTAGTTGCTCTATTTAGTTGGAGAATTCCCAGTAGCTCATTGCGTGGTGTAAGTGGCGGAGAATGAGGCCGCCTCGAAGCACCTTTTGCCCAGAGGTGCCCGGGCTGCCCCGCTCGCTACCTGAGCGCCCTTCCTCCAGAAACGACATCAGTAGGAACCCCAACTCTCAGATAGGTCAAAAACTCAACCTGGGGTATGGGAACAGAGATGGGTTGCCCCCACTTCCAGGAAGACTCTGCATTTCCTCGCCTACCAAGCCGTCGCCACCGCCACTTCCGCCTAGACATCTTAAATCTCGGGTGTTACCCAAGGGCTCCACCTTGACCCATCAGGGTTCCACCAGCTCGCTCGTGGGCACGTCTAGCAGCAGGAAAAAGAGAAATCCTGGCTCTGTGCAGACAGCCCAGAAGGTCAACATTTCACTTCAGGGTCACCAGAAGTCGCACTTGTCGTCACCACGAGCATCACTCACAGGTGAGCTGTCATGGCCACCACCTGGACACGGCCAGTGCCACGTTGCTGTTACTAATAGTTATGAAGTCTATAGAGTACACCTCTATATTATAATCTGCCACATGTGTCTACAGAAGCCAGGTTGCGACTGGTTGAAATAGTTGATGCCATACTAACTTTAATATACAGTAATAGCTAAAAGCTACTATGCGAAAGTTAAATCAGTTTATGTTAGGTCAGGTTAGGTTAGGCTGGTTGTTTGTTGGTAAATCTGTCACATCGATATTGAAACAGTTTATTTAGCCAGAAGAATACAGATACAGAGTGGACAATAAGAACAACATTGACAAAGCTGAGCCAAGTGAGAGCCTGAGCCCTCGTAGTGGCACCTGACATAATTACTGTACATTTATCTCGAGGAATTATTGTACTGTATAACATTTAGTATCCAGATTATTACATGTAACATGGTGTTGGTAAATACATATTAGAATGTTATTACGTTTATCAGTTATTTATTTATTTTTATTTTTATTATGAATATACAATATACAGTATACATATTTTAACAGGAGAGTTTAGTTGATACACTGTAACAGTAATCAGATAAGTGGGTGGAAGCAATACAACATGGGTTGTTGGGGTGAAACAAAGGAACACATATACAGTATAATGAAGTTAAATCTCATATGAAGAGGTAAGGTAAGAATCTATACTAATAGGGTTGTAGAGTGAGGAAAGTTGGTAGCGTGACTCGGGGGTGTAAAGATAATATTATATAGTAACGCAGTCTCAGTACAAGTGTAGTATATAAAACACATGCATGTTCCAGCTTTATTTTACTAGTTCAAAGAGGGGAGGATTAATAAGGGTTCGTAAAACAATATATAGTAGATTATGATATATTCCTATTACAAGCAAAATGGGCACTTCCACTCTGTCGATCAGCCAGCACTTACTTTGACACGATGAGTGGATAGCACACCGCCGATGGACTGGGCTGAGACCTCGTTGAACTTATTGACGGACTTCTACGATGCAGCTGGTGAGACGACGAGCGGGACTGAGGAGTGAGTGTTGCTGGCCCCTTCACAGTTATACCAATAATGGTGCGTGGAAGGAGCTGAAGGCCCCTTATATTGGCGGTGTCAGGCCGGCAGATGTCGTCACTAATTAACACTAACCTGGGTGTGTCGAGACAGCTGTGTTTGGTCAGGTGAGTGGTGTGGGCGGGAGGGTAGTTTCTTGAGTTAACACGGTCATGACGCCGGTTTCGCTAATCACGCGACGGTGAGAACTCAGGTTCATTGTGACCGTGACCTCTACTGGGGTCAGGTCTTCATCTCGCTTTAAGTACAAAGGGTTGGTCAACTTACATGGATGTACACTGCTCATCCGGAAGGTAAAATGTTAATTTACATATCCCAAAGAGGATACTCACTTTACTCTGATGAGGAAGAAGAAGGTCCTGGTTGTGGAGATGGACTAGGTGGGGGAGGAGACCCCTGTTTTCTTTATGGATCAGTCACTGCCATGTCATGCAAGGCTGTAAGTCATAAGATTAAAAAGTTAGCTTTTCAAGATGGCTGCTGGTTGTCCTGGAAATGACCTTGACCCAGTTGATTTGACCCTGATCCAAGATGTCCTAAAACATCACCAATCGTCCTAAAACTGGTAACACACCATTCAGATGCCTAGATCATCAAGCTGTGCCCAACAGTGGCGGCTCGTGAAAAATAAAATGGAGGGACTGCAAGCCTCACACAACAGTAGGATACACAAATTTGACCTACCTCAGGTATGAGTTGTAGTTGATGTCCACGAATTCCCAGGGCATGGTAGTAGTGTTGGTGGTAGAAGGGATGGCCGAGGTGGTGATGGACCAGTATTAATTGAAAATAAAGTCCGCGTGTCTGCTCTTCGATGTAGCAAAATTGTTTATTACTATTTCATTAAAATCCTTTATTTCTGTTATCATTTTATTTTCAATGGATATCACTGCTAAAGCAGACAGTCTGTCATTCACCATGGTACTGCGCAAAAAAGTTTTAATTCTCTTCAAAGTTGAAAAGCACCTTTCTGCTTCTGCCGTTGTCATTGGAGTTGTTATTAAAATTTTCAGCAACTTGACAGTGTCTGAAAATGTTGACTGTTGAATGGATAAAACTGGTGTAGGTCTTCCTCTTGCTTTGATTTCAGTCTTTTCATTTAATGTCAGCTGGGAAAAGTTGATGTTTTGCAAATACTTCACTCGATTTTCCATCATCAAAGGGTAATTAAAGAAAGCACGATTTAACCACACCGTCCACACGCAATGTAAACACGTTGTACGAGACTGAGCTGTTTTAAGTGCAGCTCATTGTGCGGCGGCGGCGCCAATTAATAACAGACATGAATCGTACAGCATTGACAGCAACTATGAAAGTAACTTAAATTTTGGTCTGATTTTAATGAAAATTCACTTAGCAACGTATTGAAAATAATTAAATAACATATAAAATGATATATTTGTTGGTAGTGTATTATTCAGCTGTCTCTCTAAAGGAATCATACGCCTGGCAGTGAGTGTCTGGGGGGACTGCAGCTCTGCAGCCCTATGCACGAGCCGCCACTGGTGCCCAATATCAAGGTTATGGCCAAATTTGACCTTGACACATGACCTTGACCTTGAATCTTAAAAGTATTGCCATAAACCTCCCAAAAGAGGTATTACTTGTGACATTACCACTTTGGTTCAAAAGTTATGGTATAGGTGGTGGCCATATTGGATTTGTCCAATATGGCCTCCAGTATAATATCTCAGTTTGACTCCTGTGAAAAAATGAGAGGTCTTGGTAACAGAAAGCTGTGTTCAAAATATCAGAATTGTAGATAAAAGTAAATGTTATTTTATTAAGCCCCCATAATAATAGAATTTATAATACAATTGTAAATATGCATGACAATTTTTAACTTAATAAGCATCATTATCATCTACAAAGCAAACAAAAACTTGCTCATCAGCTGTGTAACAACAAGGAGCCTGCATGTCACCATGTTGACCACCCTAGCTATGGATGTGGTGTGAAAGCGTTCATCCATTGGAGTGAGCCATCCTTGGAGGGAGCTTGCTGAGCTATCCTTGTGGCTGCACTCAGAAGACTCAGAAGCTGCATGGACTCAGTGGCCTTGGCATGGGTGCAAATTGCTCACTATTGCTGTAGTCATTATGTAGAGTGAGATGTCACATGACTTCCACTTGTGAACATTTTGACAGGCTAAATAAAGACCCATTTAGTGTAGCATGAAGTTTCACTATATTTAACTGGTGCTTCAGGCATAATGCTTGACTTATGTGTATTTCATGTAATAATGTATTTCCTATCTATGGCTGTTTGTATGTATGACATAAGGCATGTATCACACATTTTACTTTACAGGGGAGAGCGCAGAGGTGGACATCGCCATCTTGTACGCATCAGACGGCGACAAATGGAAGAATTACCTGTATGATGTGTTCACCCAGCGAGTACCCCAGGAAGAAGGCTACCGTGGTGTGAGGTGAGGACTGTGTGTGTGTGTGTGTGTAATAATAATATTGATAATAATTAAAGGTTTATTGAAAGAGCATGGCAGCCGTAAGGCTGAAAATATTCAGTTACATAATTGGGGAATGGGTCTCTTCTTGATTGACAAATAATATACAGGTAACATAAGTGATACAAATATGATATATAATAACTAGGTGGGAAGAAGGTCATACTACAAAGCATTTCAACATAGTGACAGTGCAAAAAGGTAAGGTTGACTCGGAGTGAATACACTGGTTGATTACAAGTTATTGATAATTTTTACAATGGTTGGGACTGGGCTGTTCTTATAGCGATCAGTACGTGCTCGTATGGGCTGGATACGGTTGTGGTGTCGAACAGCAATTTGAGGACGAGGGATCTCGGGTGGTAGTAGGAGCCGGTGTCAAGGATGGTGCAGAAGCTTCTCACCATATTTGCACACTTGTCAACCATCAGTGAGACAAGACGTGCCCCGAAGGCGCTCCTGGTTTTAGCAGCCAGGCCGAGTCTGTTTGGCCCTGCCCACTCCCCCTGCTATACCCCAACACCCTACCAGCCTTACTACACCGGGATCTATTCAGCAAAACATTCTAGTGATTAGTGAACGATTGATTACGGAGCAGTGTTCCTATAGTGCACTTAAGGAACTTTCTCAGCAAAGCATTCAAGTCATCAGTGCAATAAGTGATTATTATACAGTGCTCGATAGTGCACCCTCAAGGAAAAGTCAGACAGTGGGCACTTTATCGGTCACCTTTAAAGTGCCAGTGACAAGGACCACCGTGGTGTTTACATATATCGTAATAACTGTGTCGGCGACCCCAAGCACCAGGGACAAAGTCGTAAAGACCCACGGTCTTTACGACTGACAAATATTAACAGATGTCTACCAGTGTCATTGCCCCTCAAAGTGCCGTCAGTGACAAACACTTCCTTCCGCCCACAAGAGATCTCAACAGATGGCCGCCAATCACTTACTCCCGACGCACTCTGTACCATCTAAAGCGTGGGAACGGTTATCCTGATGGCAGTGTTATCGCGCGACTCAAGTCACTGAACATATTCCACGCGCGGAGCCGTAGACAAGGCCGTCATACACATAAGCCCATTAGAACCGTAACCTCCACTAGGAAACCGGAGAAACCCACCCCTGACAGACCATACCACCTCACTGAAGTTCCACGGATATGGTATGATCTCCCGTCTTTACTGCTATCCAACGTCACTTCCCTAGCTAACAAGTTCGACGAGCTGGCAACTACAGTCAGGTCAGCCGCCGCGAGCGTCGTTGCCATATGTGAGGCTTGGCAAATTGTGCCTGAAACGTGTCATATTGAGGGATATCAACTCTTTCATCACCTTCGTTCACATAGACGCGGAGGGGGCGTTGCCCTCTTCTGTCAAGATGACCTACGCCCGTCACGCCTGGATGTTCAAGTCCCAGCAGATGTGGAAGCATTATGGGTACGTGTCGTGCTACGGGCCCACCCGCGCAACACTGCTTCCATCATAATCTGTGTGGCATACCATCCGCCTCGCTCACCCACCAGAGACACTCTTATCAATCATCTCATCACCACCTCAGACCACCTCAGAGTTAGGTACCCATGTGCCAAGTTAGTATTATGTGGGGATTTTAATGAAATTGACACCACTGATATCCAGGACCAGCTATCACTATCACAAGTTGTGACCTTCCCCACACACGGTCAAAATACCCTTGACCTTATCTTAACTGACTTAGCGGACCAGTACCAACCACCTCAACCAATGCCTCCTATCGGGTGTAGCACACACTTATCAGTGCTCTGGTCCCCAGCTGCCACTCCCACTCAAGTACAGAGACCCTACATCAAGACCTACAGGCCGATTACTGACTCTGCAGTGCGCCTCTTCGGGCAGTGGATAGTTCACCATCCCTGGACTGAAGTACTTAGCGTGGATGACGTGGAAACCAAATGGATAAATTATACCAACACCACCACGGAAGCTCACCACCACTTCTTCCCCGAGAAGTCCGTCAGATCTCACCCAGCTGACTTGCCCTGGATCACACCTCGGATCAAAAGACTTATGCAACAGAGAGACAGAGCCTTTCATCTCAATGACCACATCCGCTACAGGTCCCTTCGCAACCGAGTCATCCGCGAAATACGCACTGCAAAGAAGTCCCACTACCCAACCAAATTACAACACCTGAAGCAGACCAACATCAGTCAATGGTATGGTAAGCTTAAAGAACTCTGTGGACTAAACAATAAGACACACCCCCTCCCCTTCCTTAGCCATCTCACTAATGTTGACGCAGCTGAGCAAACAAATAACCATTTCGCTACTATATGCCAGACGCTCCCCCGGCTTGACACAACCACTCTCCCTGCTTACCTACCAGCCCCCCTTCCCACTGACTTAGTAGAAGAATTTGAAGTAGCAAAACGCCTGGACAAACTAAAATTAAAACGCTCTACCACCCCCATTGACTTACCAATGAAACTCTTCAAGGAGTTCTCCCCGGAGCTTGCTAAACCCCTATGCTCCATCATCAATGCTTCTCTCAGTCAAGCCAGATGCCCAGCTGACTGGAAGACCTCTTATGTATCACCAGTGCCCAAGTCAACCAGCCCACAATCCTTAAATCAGCTACGACCTATTGCAATCACCCCAATACCCAGCCTAATCTGTGAAAGTTTTGTGTTCGACTGGGCTTATGCTGATATTGCAGGAGTCGTAGACCCTCAGCAATTTGGCAACATGAAAACTTCCTCCACCACTCACTGTCTTGTCAGCTTTCTCGATTACATATACCGCCATCTCAAGAAACGAAAAACGTCTGTAGCTGTCGCCTTCATTGATTTCACTAAAGCGTTCGACCTAGTCGACCACAATATAATCATCAACAAAGCTATTGACCTCGGGCTTCGGAGAAGTCTTATACCATGGCTTACAGACTTCCTCAGTGACCGACGCCAAGCTGTACGCCCGAGGGGCTGTCTCCACCTTTCAGTCACTCACCTGTGGCGTCCCCCAAGGCACCACCAAGATGGGACCACTCTGCTTCCTTATGCTCATCAATGATACCCTAAGAGAAACCCCTGCTCGCTGGAAATATGTCGACGACTCCACCATTGGGATCAGCGTCAACAATTCTGCTCCCAACTATACCGCCCTTCAGGATTTATTGAACAGTCTCCAAAACTGGGCCACCAACAACCATGTCACCATCAACCATACCAAGACCATGGTTATGCACATCAACCTCTCCTCCGACATTGTCCCACCTCCTTCCATTACTCTAGGTCCGAACACTCTCCAGGTTGTAGATTCCACGAAGCCCTCGGCGTCACCATAGACAACAAACTAAATTGGAAACCACACGTCAAAGTGAAGTTATCAGTCTTCCAAGCTTCCGCTCATTCTCCCACGCACGAATTCAAGTCCTCGGACTCTGCACGGAGCTCCCTGCGTTTACACAATACCATATTTCCCAAGCTCACCTATGCCTCCCCACCCGGTCTTCCTCCCTAAATGCCACACAACGTAAACACCTAGAAAAAGTGCAAAAGAGGGCATGCAAGATTATTCTCCCCCCTTCCTACTCCACATATCAAGAAGCGCTCAACACACTGACCCTTTCGACTCTCACTGACCATCACCACGACCTCATCTGCAAATTTGGTAAGAAGCTTCTACACCATCCCCGACACCGGCTCCTACTACCACCTGAGATCCCTTGTCCGAGAATTGCTGTTCGACACCACAACCGCATCCAGCCCATACGCACGAACTGATCGCTATAAGAACAGCCCAGTCCCAACCATTGTAAAAATTATCAATAACTTGTAATAAATCAGTGTATTCACTCCCAGTAAACACTACTCCTTGCACTGTCACTATGTTGAAATGAACTGTAGTTTGAGCTTTTCCCCATCTAGTTATTATATGTCTTATTTGTGTCACTCATGTTACTTGTATATCATTTGTAATTCGTAACCCATTCCCCAAATATGTAACTGTATATTTTCAGCCTTCTGGCTGCCAAGCTCTTTCAATAAACCGTTAATTATTATTATTATTATTATTAAAGAGCCGAGAGGATCAATGTGATGAGCGCTTCTTGATATGTGGAGTAGGAAGGGGAGAGAATAATCTTGCATTCCCTCTTTTGCACTTTTTCGAGGTGTTTACATTGTGTGACATTTAGGGAGGAAGACCAGGCAGGGGAGGCATAGGTGAGCTTGGGAAGTATGAATGTTGAGTAAACAGCGAGGAGCTCAGGCGCAGGAACTCCGAGGGACCTGAGTCGGCGGAGGAGGTGGAGACGGAAACTGGAGGATGTGACAACTTTACTGACGTGTGTTTTCCAATTTAGTTAGTTATCTGTAGTGATGCCAAGAAGCTTAGTGCCTAGGGGGATGCCACAGGTGAGTGACTGAAAAGTGGAGACAGCCCCTCAGAAGCGTATTGATTGACATCGGTCACTGAGGAAGTCTGTAAGCCATGGTATTAAGACTTCTCCAAAACCCGAGGATGGTGCAGTAGTCTACTGCTAAACCCTGCTTGTGCTTGGTGGTGGAGGTCACTGAGGGATGGCATTTCTAGGGTGGAGAGGGTGTTGTTGTAGCCAGAGTAGTCTGCGCCGAGCATGATTCTGCAGGCCCTTTTCTGTACCTTCTCTAGCTGTGTGTGTGTGTGTGTGTGCACACACAGGGTGGTGAAATGAGTGTAGTGTGGCAGCATTATGTTAGTGTTAAGGTGCAAGCACTTCTTGCTCCCTCTCGCTTTCAGCTGCCGCCGCTGGCTAGCCCTCGTAGTGAACAGGGAAGCAACTTGCACAAGTCTTCCCCTGCCAGTACACAGGCTCCTCACCATCAAGACTCCTGCTGTGCCTCCTCGTGGCAACACACTGTAACTGGGTGAAGTTATAAAACTTGCAGATCAGCATAAGATGCGCAAACTTTTTATTTCCACTAAAACATTTTATGGGCCAGTTACTCGTGGCACACCTCTTCACTCATCTGACAGTGCCCACATAATTAAAGACGATGAAGGCCTCCTTCAGTGCTGTAAAGAGCACTACCATTCACTGCTCAACTGAAATACCGATGTGGATGTCCTGACTACCCAGCAAGTCCCTCAGCATCCAGAGCTGACCCACCTCAGTTATCCTCCATCCCTGGATGAGGTAGCTACTGCCATCAAACAGATGAAAAATAACAAAGCCTCAGGGCCTGATGGAATCCCAGCCGAGGTGTATAAAGCAGGAGGACCTCTACTTACCAGCCGTCTCCACTTTCTCCTGGAGAATATATGGGAAAAAGAGGAAATTCCCCAAGCTCTTAAAGATACCTCCATTGTCAATATTTATAAGAACAAGGGGGACCTGTCAGATTGTGGCAACTACCGTGGGATCTCGCTGCTGTCCGTAGCTGGCAAGATTACTGCCCGAGTCCTCCTAAACAAAGTTCTTCCTGAGGCAGAAAACTTCCTCCAAGATTCTCACTGTGGCTTTAAACCAGATACAGGAAAAGTGCAGAGAACAGTTTTCGTGACCTTACCAAGGCCTACGACTCAATCAACAGGGAAGTCCTCTGGTGGACCCTCAGCTATTTTGGCTGCCCACCAAAATTCATCGCCATTGTGTGGCAACTCCACGATGGCATGAATGGCAGTGTCCTGTATAATGGCACCTAGTCTGAATTCTTCCTCATGCAACTCTTTTTTCCATTTTCTTGGCTGTATTCCTTACTTGTGCCATTGCTAATTTAGCCAGTGGGATGGACATCTAGTACCGGCAGAAGAGACTTTTAAACATAAGACGACTCCAGGATGGAACAGAGGTGTCAGCAGCTTCCATTACTGAACTTCAGTATGCAGATGACCTCACCCTCGTCGCTCACACAACGCGACCTACAGGAGATCCTGAACACTTACACAAATGCTTATGCACACCGGCTTTCAGGTGAATGTATGTAAGAGTCAGATTCTCTTTCAGCCTGCCCCTGGTTGAGCCACACCTCCACCATCCATCCAGCTTAACGGTACTACCCTCTCTAATGTTACCCACTTATAGTATCTTGGCTCCCACCTGTCCACCACCGCAGACATCACTGAAGAGATTCAACATCGAATCAGATGTGCATCTCAAGCCTCGTGAGCTGTCTTGGCAGTCAGTCGCCCGCTTCTGCCTAGGAACAGTTAAAGGTGTTTAAGTATTGTAGAATTGTTGTAAGCGATATAAAGGGAAAAGACTAAGGAATTGTGCACTGGTAGTGTGCTGACTGTATAAGTGTGAAGTGAGAAGTCCAGCTGTGAAGTCATTACCCTGTGAACAGTTTTGTGAGTATCTAGTGATTATTAAAGAAGTCTACAGTTCACAAGTGTGTTTCTGTGACCTGGTGGAAGTCTACCTGCCTGTTGTTTGTACACTGATGCCAATCGTTGAGAAATTACTGGAGACTGGCGGGACAGCCAGTGACAATTCAACAACACTTATGATATATCTACTACTAGTTACCAGTGGTGAAAACCGAGTAGCAGGGAAAAGGGCTCGTAACAATATTATTACTTCTCACTTTATACACTCCTGCACATGTGTATTGTACAGGGTTTTTACATTACAGTTTGTACCTGTATGACATTTTATGTGTGTAAATGTGTTATATGTTATGCATACAGATGAAAATAAAAACACAATATCTCACTGGAGGTGGTCATCAAAGAAAATGTTATTTTTTCTCAAAACAAAGTTTATGAGTTACCAGGGTGAAGGTTGTGAGAACATCACTGATATATTTTTAGAAACATTGTATATCACAGTCTCCAACCAATAGCCTGGTTGATGGGTACTGTTTGGCAGCATGTGTGTGTTTGGAAGACTACTGAAGCATTGGTTCTTCTATATCATGTAAAATTTAATGTTCACTTTAGAACATTTTATAAATTTAACTGCTTAACTAAGCTCTGACCACTTTAAGTATCCTTAGTGGCCATCGCAGTTCATGACAGGTGAATGTGTTTCATCACTATCCTCAAATTGTTGACAGTTACTTAGGATGCTAAAAGTGGGCAGAGCTTATTAATATAGTACAGTCAACCCTCACTTTACGCGGTTAATGTAACCCGCAGGGTCCCGCGGAAAGTGAGGAACGCGTAAAGTGAATAACATAACATATGGGATTAATTGAAATAGAGTCCGGGCCGACCCCCAAACTCCACTTTTTGACGACACACAACTATGTTGTAGTAAAAATTTTATCTTAACTTTATGATGGTATGAAAAAACAAGTAATATAGAAGAGGTTAGGTTAGGAAAAATAAAGGTTAACATAGGAAAAATAAAGGTTAGGTTAGGAAAACTAAAAGTTATGTGGAACACTTACGTTAGTAGAAGAGATGGGTCGGCATACGGGGATGGAGGCTGGTTCCGAGGCAGAGGGCAGATTACTGGCCCTCAGGTGAATCACCATTACTAGGTGAATCACCATCACTGTCACTTACAGTTGTCAGGGCTTCCCTGACAAATCCCTCAAAGTCATCTTCACTGTCACTATCACTGGCTTGGGCTGGCTGTGGTGGGTTGCGGGCGAAGAAATCTGTTATGCTTTGCTGACGGCTGGTGTTGATGTTGTCGTGATACACCTTGATGTAGGGCTCCATAGTCTGCAACAGCTGGGTAGTGAAGATTTCATACCTGTTTGCGTCAGGGTCGTCGGAAAGGAGGAGCTTGGCTTTCTCGATACACTCGATGGCACCCCTAACATTACTATGGGATAAGTGTTGTTCTTCTTGGGATGACGCACCACCTGCCTCTTCACTGACGTCGTCATCATCATCATCTACCATCTCCTCGGTAGTCACATCAGGTTCCATTATCACCTCCAGGATGTCGTCGTTGGTGGTCTCGGAGAAGCCTGGAACTGTAACAGTCTGCGCAGCTTCTCTGGCAAGGTCCACTGCTACTGCAACAGTCTGAACCTCACCAGTCACAGATTGACTCCTCCTCTCACCTGGTATTCCATGCAACACATGTCTCCATGCGTGACGAATTGTAGCAATAGACAGCTGATCCCATGACTCCACCAAGAAGTCCACAGCTTTCTTGATGTTAAATACTCTCCAGAATTGTTTGAACAGTATTTTTTGCTGTGCCAACTGTTGATCCTCATCTTCTTTGCTCTTGCTATCGGTGGTGGTGTCACTCAGGTTGCGCAACTCTTCCCTGGTGTTGGTGTAGTCGTTCAGGAGTTTGAATTTTTTCGTAGAGAATGCAGCTTTTACATTACAGATTAACTCTTGGTCCATGGGCTGTAATATAGACGTAGTGTTGGGAGGAAGGAAGACCACTTTTACGTTGGGGTGACGATCTAACAGTAGGGGCGAGTGTCCTGGTGCGTTGTCCAGCAGCAACAAAATCTTGAATGGCACATTCTGTTGCTCACAGAATTTCTTTACATCGGGAACAAAACAGTCATCAAACCAGGAGAGGGACAGTGTAGAGAACATCCACGCCTTACGTGCGGTCAGCCAGTGGACATTTAGCTTGGTCATGTCCATGGTTTTGTAGGCGTGCGGCTTGCGTGCTGTGTGGATCACCGATAACTTGAGCTTACAGGTACCGGAGGCATTGGTGGTAAACAGGACGGTGATGCGTTCCTTCTGCATCTTCCGGCCCCGAATCTTGCTGGCATTCTTTACAACGAAGGACTTGGAAGGTAGCTTTTTCCAGAAAAGACCAGATTCGTCCATGTTAAACACCTGGTCGTCACTGTACTGTCCTTCCTCCATAATCTCACGTAAAAACGGAGGAAATTCCCTAGCCGCAGCACGGTCAGCACTCGCTTCTTCACCACCAATGTTTATATTGGTGATCTTGTTCCGGATCTTAAACCTCTGTAACCACCCAGAGGAAGCATTAAAGGGTTTGGGCTCTGTAGTTCCCATCTTTCGTGCCACTGCATGTACAGTTCACGTGCGTAGTCCTTAACAGAGCGCGTGTCGACCGCCATGTTCCGTCGCGCCTGACGCACCAAGTACCTCACAAGTAATTTTTCTGTCTTGAGAAGCACCTGGTTGTGAAAATACTTGATCATAGAAGCACCTGTAGACTTTGTGATCTTCATGTGCTCCTTTATCTTGGCTGCATCCTTCTTTATTGTTCGAATCGTAGATTCATTCACACCATGCTGGCGCGCCAAATCAACCTGCCTTGTTCCTTTCTCCAACTCTTGGATGATGGTATACTTCACCTCGTAGCTTAAGGAACGTCGTGTCTTCTTTGGCTTAGTGCCGCTGGGTCCAGGTAAGGAAAGGTTTCTCTCTGGGGGTGGTGGTCCGGCGGAAGCCATTTTAGAGAACAATGGATGCACGTTTACACGGTCTGGCGTGGAGGGATGAAACTGGCGCGGCTAGGTCAAGGATCATCTTTCCTCCCTCCCTCCCTCCCCCGGGTGGACACGTCATAATACTTTAAGCCAATTACAGCTAGCAGCAGAGGGGGGTAGGGATGCATGGCCAATCACAGTCCGATACGTCATATGACGTCAGTGATAACGCAACAAAGACACACACTGCGCAACCTTACCGCGCGGCTTGCCCAAGCGGAGGGAGGAGGAGGGAGAGGCGAGGAGCACAGGCAGGCAGGCGGGTGGGGTGAATCTAAAAATAGCGTCGCGCCGGACACACTCCGCGTAATGGGGTTCACGCACCGCGTAATGTGAGCACGTTTGGTTCTGGCAAGGCACCGCGTTAACGTGGAAACGCGGAATGTGGGACCGCGTAAAGTGAGGGTTGACTGTAGTTCAATTCAAAATAACTTTTCCAGGATTGAGATGAAGAATGTGGAGGAGATAAAAGATGACATTGGACGACTGGAAGCAGTGAAGTTGAAAGGAGCAAAATTGCAGGTAATTTTGATGTTGATCTTTTCATTGGATTTTCCATAAGAAAGTAAATGAATGATACTGTTTAGTTATTGTTAAGGTCATAAAAGTTTGTGTTAAGGTTTATCTGCTTATTGATGATAATCTGTATACATGTACTGTAATGTGGTTGTTTGGTTGAGAACTGGGATGTCAGTTGTTGTTCCCAGCCCTTAACCATATACTCCTGTATTGTACTGTACTTTACATTGATTTACAACACTTCATAACAATTCACTCTGCATACTATACTTAGTTGAAAATCATCAGAATTTCCACAATTTAGCTTTAGCAGACAGAATAAGATGCACCCTCTACAATATATATGTACTGTACTGTACCATGAAGTAGTGCATGAAGAGCTGATGATACTACAAGTTATTAAATTTTTCAGATCATTATACTGTCCCCCTGCTTCTTGGCTCACATTGCTGAACATGGAAGAAGTGAGTTGGGTCAAGTGTTTAAACCAGAGAAAGTTTTGGCCTTGTTGCTGGGGATTGATGACAGTCAGTTCACAATGGCTCATCGCTCAGGTAAGTAAATGATGCTGTACATTACATTCAGTGCAGATCATTGGGAGGAGGGCTTTTTTTTTTTTTTTACGGGAATCAGCCCACCTAGGCACAGGTCACTGACCCACACCGGGGCCTGGGGGGCGAAAATGTAACAATAATAATAATAATAATAATAATAATAATAATAATAAAGAACCACAAAGAAATACAAAATGAAAAAATAAATCAAAAGTGAGGAACAATATATGTATGTTGTGTTGTCAATAGTAAGAGAAACAATTGAGACCCTGCAATTGTGTGTAAATGAGGCAGAAAGTCAGATCAGCAACCTGGGACTTGGTCACAATTTTCGTGATGCCATGTGGCAGCAAGATCTACCATAGACAACACATTATGCTTCCAATATCTTCCCAGGCTGTAGTACCTCCCTGTTTGGTAAAGCAGAGGCATTAAGTGGTGGGGGTGATGAATGGCAGTGGTGTTAGATGATGAGGAAGGTGTCTAGCATCTTACTTTTTTTGTGGATAAATTACTCATTACAAGAGGTTTGTTTTGACATCAAAATTTCTTTCCTACAGTATTGACCACTTGAGCTTCCAAGTCGAAGCTTTAAGTTCATTTTTCAGTCAATCTCTGAAAATAAGTGACCAAGTGCGAAAAAAGAAATAAATAAAATAAGATTAAATTTAGTGTTTCTTGGAACCTAGGGTATGAAATAAGTTTGGTTAAAAGTTGTGAGATTGATATCACAGATTAATAGAAGTTGTTGAAACTTAGTATCAAATGTTATAGATCAGGTAATTTGCCCACTGAAGTACTGTACCTGTAGTAGTGGTTGCTTGGAGAATTTATAACTGATAAAACTGTTTCTTTATTATTAACTTATTTCCACATGTAAATACACCATTGGTATTCCTCGTTTAATGATGGGGTTGTGTTCCTGAAAACCTAACGTTAAGTGAAATTATCGCTAAATGAGGGATAACAGCAAAGCACGGAGGGCGTACAACAGGTTCAAATGGCAGGGTGATAAACACTAAGTACAGTAATATACAGTACTACTCCCTAATACACTAATAATAATAAACGTGTTTATTATAAGCAGTTTCAAAGTTAACGAATGATTTATTAACACCAAACTTCTATATAAACGATGTGGTTCAGAGTTAAACGATTTAATGAGAAAAGGTGAGCCTTAGTCGATCAAATTTCAAATTGCATGCGTCAAAAAAAAAATAAAAATGCTATAACAAACAATTAAATTCATACAGAACACATCATGAATTATAATAGCACATATTTTATGTACTTCCACACTCAAACCATCATGTGTGGCTGTATGCCTTGATGTCTCATTGGGGAGGGAGTCAAGGAGCAAGCAGTTACCGCCCACTGCCTCCACAAATACGTTCACTTCACATACTGTACATACACACCCATGTTCTTAATTTTTCTTATTTTATAGTTTTATATTATATTTTCTTTATTTCTAAGCCATGGTAGAGTATTGTAAGTTCATCCAATCTGTAAACGAATTTTGCGTGTGCATCACATAAATAAGATAAGGATTTTGGGTAAAATCTGTAATATTATTGGTTTAAAAGATTAGATAGGATTTTGTTTTAACCCCACATTTTCCCTCATCTTCAAAGCCCTCCCCACTTTGGATGAATCATTGTCGTTGCTAGTGTCAGAGTAATATATCCATAAATGTGCATTTCCCATGGAAATGAAGGTCTTAATCATTTATAACAAGAAAAAATACATAAGAAAAACCTATTTTAGTAATCAATATCTCATAATGGCATAAAACGATTCTTTACCATGTAAATTTCCTTTATTTATTTAAATACAGTGTAATGTGAATTTTTTTAACCTGAACCCTACTTTTGCTTTTATCCTCCTCACCACTGATTGACCTGTTAGCTGCTTGGACAGTCAATCATGTCTCTGTTAGGCACTGTTGGTAAATACTGGGCAAGTGCTGGTTCCAGAATGTATCTGTACCTGCACCAATGTTGGTCAAGTCTGTTTTGAATGAGCTGACACTCGTTGCTGCTACAATGCTCTGCCAGTTTGTTCCAAGAGTTCACAATTCTCACTCCAAAAACGTTTGCCCTGATAATTTTTTTAACTTGTCACTTCTTCAGCCTTAAGCTGTGACCTATAGTAGGGCGGGCATCTGCAAGCTTCAGGTATGAACACTGGAATGAGCAATGCTCTCTGAGCTGTTTATAGACTATAATTAAGTCACCCCATGCCTGCCTTTAGTATAAGCTAGGTAATTGCAGGCATTCTAATCTCTCAGGGTAACTGAGGTGCTGTATTGCAGGCACCAGTTTGGTGGCCATCCTTTGGACAGATTCAGTCAACTTACAGTCTAGCTCTAGCATATCTCGGAGTCCAGACGGGGTGACAATACTCCAACTTGGAAGCACCTCATTCTTGAAGAGTGTTATGAGGATGAGCCGTCTAGATATGCAAATGATCCTTCTTATAAGACCTACTAGCTTAGTCGCTTGATTCACCTTCTCACAATGGTTCGAGAACTTCAGTTCATTGTCAACAAACACACCCAAAACCTTTTCACATTTGGTCTCTGTGAATGCTGTTTCTTCATCCCATTGGGACATGTGAGGCTATGTCCCATGTGCAAATATCTTGTGGCATTGAGCGACCTGGGTGTAGAACACCCAACCTACTTTCGAAAGCAACCTGTGTCCCCCATTGCCAGCATCTTGCCAGCTTAATCATGCCGCTTATGCAGTGCAGACGTTTGCTGGTACTTTCAGAAAACAACACTTTTCAATGTGTGGTACCTGCAGAAGTACCCAGGAAAAAACATCCCATTTATCACAGGAGGGTGGAAGTAGGTGAATTTCACCATCTCTACAAGGAACTTTACCAAGATCCAAAGAAGTTTCATGAGTTCACCAGAACAGCCCAGTCCCAACCATTGTAAAAATTATCAATAACTTGTAATAAACCAGTGTATTCACTCCCAGTAAATACTACTTCTTGCACTGTCACTATGTTGAAATGCCCTGTAGTTTGAGCTTTTCCCCATCTAGTTATTTTATATCTTATTTATATCACTTATGTTATTTGTATATTATTTGTAATTCGAAACCCATTCCCCAGATATGTAACTGTATATTTTCAGCCTTCTGGCTGCCAAGCTCTTTCAGTAAACCGTTAATTATTATTATTATTATTATTATTATTATTATTATTATTATTATTATTATTATTAATATTAATGTTTCCTACTACATTTGATGACATCCATGAAAATATTTGACCTCCAGAGGTACTAAACATTTTTATGCCTAATTTTATTCAATAGTTATGATCACCTTGTTATTTTCGGTAACAGGCCTAGGATTATAGCAGCCAAGATATTATCTTATAACTTGTCCCTGACCTAATACGTACAGTATATTTGTGAATGAACTGGTGTATGAGTCTTTTAACTTAATGTTAATTTTCAAAGCAGTGGCGACATTCTTCCATTGTTTGTCAAAGGTATTTCGATTGTGGTATTCCTTTTTCCTATGATCTCATAAAACGGACCTCTGAAAGACTTCAGCAATAAAAGGTTGCTCTTCACAGTCCGTTTCGTTTGGTTCTTAATTTCCCCGATAACTTGGCATCGTCCACAAATATTTGTATGGAGGAGTGTATAGCTTCTAGCTTGTCATTTATGAAACAAACAAACAGCAATGAGCCTACTACACTGGTCTGTGGTACCCCACTTATCAGAGGAACTTAACCCTTAATTTGAATCAGTTAGCAAACTTACTCCCATTTCCTGTTTATTACTTCTACTCCAGGATCTTAAAAGTACAGTTTTGATACATTGTCAAGTTAATGAATTCCATGTTCATCTTTTATACTGGACATAAATACTTTAGCCATTAAACAATTAAAATGTATGTTATTCACAAGCTCCTAAACCAAAGCTGCCCTTAAATACTGAGGGTTTTATTGAACCGTAACAACCCATAAGTATTAATTATTTTCAAACAATATGCAACCCTATGGGTTCTGTACAAGGGGGAATTTGGTGATTAGTAATTATGTGTGCCATTTGGCCCTTCTGTGCAACATTGCAATACAGGGTACATGACATAACATTATACAGTACTGTATTGTATATGATATTTCAATACATGATGACATAATATCAAATAGCACTTTGATAACTTTCTTGACATCTGCGACTGGCCTCTGAGTGCAGGAGTTCCACAAGGGTCAGTCTATACAACATACTTTACATTAATGACCTGCCTGACTCACTGGCCATACAGTACGCCGACGACATGAGACAAATAGTCAGACACGGAATGGCAATAGACTACCTCACAAAAATAAGAATAAAATAAAAATTAGGATACTCAAACAGGTCACAAAGTGAGAACTCAAATGGTGTTCACAAACAAACTCCAACAAATCACCTACTGTACTTTGGTATCAAAAGACATGACCCCCCCCCACATATACCCAACACCCATACCTCTAAAACAAACAGAGTACTAGGAGTGACATTTGACTAACCCCCTCACCATGAAACACCACTTCAACACAAAGGCAGTAATAACACTCACAGTAAAAGACACTCACAGGCATACAAAGATTCAGAAGTGCAATAAGAAAAAACAAATCACACTTATACAAAGCTCTAATATGCACCCAACACACTCCAGTTAGCAGTAACAACCAACATCAAGAAACTACAAAGCATATTGAATAAATCACTGTGGTTCATACACACAACACACACACACACAGGTCATTCTTCACCACAAACGAACACCTACATGAACATAGCAACATTTCACCACTCAACATCTACTGGAGACTATTAGGTTACAAACAGATAAAAAAAAACTCCTAACCACACACCCACAATGGCAGGAATCCTTTGACAACATCATACTTCACTGCAGTTACAGAAACAGGAGCCCCACTCCACTAAACAGACCCAGTACTCACCCCCTCTATACTAAAACACGGGACCAGAGACACGGTCAGCATGTGGCGGCCTGGTGTATACCAAAGGTGGGATGAAACTTAATCTCTGACAGGCTCACTGCTAGGCAAGCATCTGCAACTTTATGGTACCAGGTTCACAACCCCTTATCCGAAATTCCGAAAACCGAAAACCTCTGAAAACCAAAAGTTTTTTCGTGGAGCAAAATTTTTTTTTTCTTTCTTTCTTTCTTTCTTTCTTTCTTTCTTTCTTTAAACAGGGATTAGCCCACCCGGGCACAGCTCACTGACTCACATCGTGGCCTAGGGGGCGAAAATGTAATAATAATTATTCATAGTAAATAAATTTATAATGAAAAATACACAAAAATAAAATAATAATGATTATAATAATAATAATAATAATAATAATATTAAAATTAATAATAATAATAATGACAATAATACTGTAATAATAATAATAATAATAATAATAATAATAATAATAATAATAATAAAAAAGAAATACAAGAATGAAAAAAAGATAAAAAGTGAGAAACACGACCTAGACCTGTGACTTATTATTATTATTACTATTATTATAATATAATTATTATTATATTTTAGTCCCCCAGGCCCCAATATGGGTCAGTGACCTGTGACCGGGTGGGCTGATCCCTGTATATTAAAAAAAAAAAAAAAATCCTAACCTAGCCTTTCTGATATCCGAAAAATTCCGAAATCCGAAATGCATCTGGCCCCAAGGATTTCGGATAAGGGATTGTCAACCTGGTGTAATTAGTTTGAGGCACCAGACACAGCTCTGGCTAGCGACCGAGACATACCACTCCCTACCCTTCCATATGGTGTGGCAGCTCAACCAATGCCCCCCACACAGTGGGATGAATCAGTCTGATGCCTCATTTTATAGAGGATGGCCCACATCTTCCCTTTTGTACTCAACACTGACGCCAATAATGCTCCTATATATGCACCTGGGCAGCCTGAGAACAATCCAGGTACACCACTTTAAGCCACTCTCAGTTCATATATTCTCCTCTCACCACTCCATTCAAACTCTGACGGCACAATGGCAGTATTGTAACCAATGAGGTTTTTCCGAGGTGTGATTATTTCTTATCAAATCAGAGAACTATTCCCCACTTTCTTCTTAAAACTCTTCCTCTCCAACCTTGGTATAAGCTCAAAGATTGTACCTTCACCTGTCACCAAACAACTCGACTACTAACCTCCTCCTCCTCCCTTTTCTACTGGATGGGGCCTCTCGGGGTTCTGGGTTCGAGCTGAGGCTGTGTAGCTCTTGTTGTGTCAGTCATGCTGCTGCTGGTTTGCTACAAAACTTCTATAACAATCAGGCATGCTGTTTTAAGACACAACACCCATTTATACTCCTACTACTCACTTCCATCCACCTGTTGTCCTTCCACTGAACCTTTTTTACCCCTGTCAGTTGGGATTTATGTATGTATGTATGCTGCTTCAGGACATGCAGAATTGCATTTCATTATTAAATATATTTTCAGCTCTGTATTCCTACAATGACTGGCATCGTCTCGCGGTCCGGAATAGGGATATGAGCTTTATATATGAAGTGTTTTATGAAGGCATCAGTATCCTCAATAACTGCGAATTGTATTGTGGATACAGAGATGAAAGTTCTGCAAGATTCAAGGTCACACCCCGCAAAGTGAACACGGTAATGTGAATTTATGTCTTCTGTTATATTGTTTACAGGGTTTATACTGTATTAAATAGTTTACAAGCTGTCATGAGACTGAAATGTTTTTATAGTAAACTGAACTTAACTTACAGACTGACCTCGCAAATCCATGTCTCAAATGTCAGTTTTTGCACAAATCTGTGCAGTTTTGTGTATGTACTCCAATCACTGTGTGCTGCACTCATCCGTCCTCATTTTCCCCCAAAAAATATTTCAATATTTCTAACACAATGCTGTGGTTGTTTGGAAATTTAAATCCAATAATTGCAAACATCATTAACACTAAATAAATTCAGTATTCAATAGTATTAAGTAACATCACAGTCACAGCTGTGTTTGTTTACATCCTGACATTGTTATATGGTGGTGGCAGTGAGCTCCTCAAGTATTATAAATATTAAGCACTCTGCTATGTCTTATTAATTCATATTTGGTCCTGTCTTACTGTGTGCATATTTGTGTGTGTTTTTCACCATTTCAGAGATTTACAACTAGATAATCTGAGTAAAGTATGGTGTGGGGTTATGGGTGGTTTGGTTCTCACTCAGGATGGGATGGAGAAAGGAAACTCACAATGTGCTCTCTGTATACATGTTGTATTGGATGTACAATGCAGCTTGGTGCTGGGAAGTGGCAGCGTGGTTACAAGCGTGATGTAGAGAGAGCTGGTTGGTGAGGACGCTCAGAGGAGGACAGCTTGTGGGTCGCCATTCTCGCCGGCGGGAGCGAGGGCCGCCAGGCAGCGGCGGAGGAGGTGGTGTAGCTTGCTGCGGCTGTAGCTAGAAGAAGAGGGAGGGCACCACGAGGTCAGGTCTTAAATAGTGGGGGTAGGCGTGGGTTAGTAGTTGACCTCTGTGATGTATGGCGGCACTGGTTGACCCAGACCACGAGGCATACACTGGGGAATTCACGGGGTCGGCTACTCAGCGACAAACAGCGTTTGTAGGGGAGAAATCCACTACAATGGCACTGAAACTCCTGTTGCCTGGACTTGGCAATGGTCAGGCTACACCACCAGAGAAAAGGAAAAACTTTCTTACACTAGACCAGTGGCAGCTCGTGCCTAGGATTTGCAGAGCTGCAGTCCCCCAGACACTCACTGCCAGGCGTATGATTCCTTCAGACACACAGCAGAACAATGCACTACTAACAAATATATCGTTATAAAAAGTCACAGTGATATCCCCGTTAGCCAGAACAATTGGTTCAGAACACTTCCAAGGATGAGAGATTTCCTGCTAACCAAGCGATTTTCTCAAACCCGGAAAAACCCTCCATCCCCGGAAATATTTCCGGTTACTGGAAATACTTTCCGAGTGTTTAAACTATGCATCTTGCACACACAAACACTAGCCCACATCCTCAGAATGTTTCTGTGCTGGGGAGTTTTCCAAGAGTCTAAACTACCGGAGTCTGTAAAAGCGGTTCTAATTAAGTTAGAAACTCCATTTGTTAACTAAAATAATCCAGAATGCTGTAGTTTATTTTAAAGTTTGGTTAAATATATATATTTAAAAACTGAAAGTCTATATGATATGGTCATGAATGAAACTGTGTGTTACAGCAGACTGGTATTTTCCACTCCCATAGAGCTGAAGGGGATTAGTGGTACTCCTGTAACTGACCTGACCTGATACAATGTCAGGTGAAGGTAGGATGGGTATTAGTGGTCTCATATTACTGACCTTCTGATACAATGTCAGGTCACCCATTGTTGCATGGGGGATTAGTGGGGATCAGGACCTGAAGATGTCCTGAATAAACATGAAAACTAAAGTACAATATTTTTAAGACTTACACTTATCACAATGTATCCCTTCAACATTACATTACATAACATTTTATAATATGGAGTGAGAAAGCTGAAAGGTGTGAGTGATTAGAGAGATGGAGTGGAAAGGAGTGGTAACATGCAATAGTGTTGCCAAGCACTTAGCTCCTCAACAGCTGATCTTTTAATTGGCCACCACGCGGTCACACACTTGTGCATCAGTTAACCACGCATAAATTAATGTTATACAATATGGGGGTGTGTGGGTGGTGTTTGGGCGTCTGGGTGTGATGTTGTGGTATTAAATAATAAATAAGCAATACTGTACAGTAAGTCCTCGCTTAACGTTGTTTCGGTACTACTTCGTTGAACTTTAGAAACCAAAAATTCGTTTAACGTCCCGGTTTTCTGATACTATTTCATTTTGCATCATCACGGACTTCTTACTACGGCGCATAACCCGCTCTTGTCTGGCTGCGATACGTTCTTTCGGCTCGGCGCACTGCCGTCATTCGCGGAACGTCACAGCATCCCCAAGTGACGCCAAGCCAGTCTCTGTTACGACTTCACATCATTCATGTGTGCTTAAAAAGTGCTTTTGCTCTAAAACTGTACTCTAACCCCTCAAAATGGCTTCCAAGCGCCCATCAAGTGCTACTGATGCTAGTGTAGTGAAGAGGCAACGTAAGATCATTACCCTTGCTATGAAAATGGATGTATTAACCCGATTTGAAAAAGGGGAACGCACTGTGGACATAGCCGCTGTGCTTGGTCTAACCCCACAACGGTGCATACTATCTGGACCAATGGTGACAAGATTAAGGTTAGTGCTGGAAGTGGTTCTTCTCTGAGTGCTACTAAGACAACTCGTACTAGAAGCACTGTGATAGAGAAGGTGGAAAAGATGCTGGCTATGTGGATGGAGGACCAAAATCAACACAATGCCCCTGTGAGCCTTATGGTTATCCAGCATAAGGCCAGATCCTTGTTTGACAACTTAAAGGCAGAAGAGGGTGAAGGATCGTAGGAAGAGATCTTTACGACCAGCCGAGGATGGTTTCAACGATTTAAGCGTTGTTATAACTTCCACAACATTAAAATGACTCGTGAAGTTGCCAGTTCAGATACAGTTGCTGCCGAGACATTCCTGCCAGAATTCAAACAGATTATCCAGGAAGGAGGCTACTCATTGAAGCAAGTCTTCAATGTGGATGAGACTGGTCTCTTTAGGAAAAGGATGCCCGAGAGGACCTATATCTCCAAGGAGGAGAAAAGAGCGCCAGGTTTTAAAGCGGCAAAAGACTGCTTGACGCTGCTGCTTGGCGCGAACACTGCCAGCGGCTTCAAGCTGAACCCTATGCTGATTTCTCATGCTGCCAACCCACGGGCCCTGAAAGGTTATTCTAAGGATCACCTTCCTGTCATTTACAGGGCAAACAAAAAGGCATGGATAACCGGCGCCATATTTAGCCAGTGGTTAAAAATGTTCACCGTCCCTGCACTGAAGGAATACTGTGCCAAGGAGAACCTTAACTTCAAAATTCTTCTGATCATTGACAATGCTCCAGCTCATCCTTCCAATCTTGACGACTTGCACGACAGTGTAAAAGTTGTATTCCTGCCTCCCAGCACGACAACACTGATGCAGCCTATGGACCAAGGCTTATTATTTATGCCGTATCATGAACCAGCTGCTCAAGGCTACGGACGGAGAAAATAAACCAATGATCTGAGAATATTGGCTTGGCTTCAACATTCTTCATGCAATTGACAACATTGGCAAGGCATGGGAAGAGGTTTCAGAAAGCTGCCTGAATGGTGTGTGGCATAAATTGTGGCCTGAGTGCATCAACAGTTTTACGGGATTCACCGACTTAGTCCCAGCTGTGAATAGGGATATCCTCAGCTTGGCTAGATAGGCAGGCTTTGATGAGTTCGAATCAGAGGATATTGAGGACATCCTGGCATCACATACAGAAGAGCTAACTGAGGAAGATCTTCAACAATTAACAGAACACAATCCCGTTGAAGACGATGACGACGAAGAAGAACCTCATCGAACGCTAACTCCCAAGAGGTTGGCAGAATCGTTGAACATGTTCCAGCAAGCAATGCAAATACTTCTAGAGGACGACCCAAACAGAGAATGTAGCTCAAAGGTTCAACGCAGCATTGATTACAGTCTTGGTTGTTACACCGAGATCTATAAGGAGAAGAAGATGAGTAGCACCAAGCAGTCAACACTGGATTCATTTTTTCGTCGTGGGACGGCAGAAGGAGCTTCTTCACAACAGCCGGCAGCCGAGGAGGAGCAAACAGCAACAACGGAGGAGGAGCAAGCAGCGGCGGAGGAAACCCCAGTCAGAGCAGGAGGAGGAGGAGGCAACCACAAAGTCTCAGTGACTCACCCCCCTCCTCCTCTTTCACCCTCCTCCTCTCCCACTCTCCTCCTCCTCCGCTCCCACCCTCCTCCTCTGCTCCCGACAGCCTTCTCCTTCGCTCCACTACCCACCACACACTTGCTCTACCACCTCCGCCCATCGGTGAGTACCACTACAAACTTAGTGCTGTAGTTCTGTATACTATTTTCTATAGAAATGGCAATGATTTCCTGTAAATGTAACTTTTTTCATGGGGCAAAGGGAGGCTCAGGAATGTAACTCCCGTCTCTTATCTATTTCTTGTGGGGAAAATTTATCCGCTTAACGTTGTTTCGCATAACGTCGCATTTTCAGGAACGTAACCCTGACGTTAAGCGAGGACGCCCTGTACTTGTAATTCATGTCGAGGAACTTGATATAACTCTTAAAAGAAGGTATATACTGTACAGTACTTATACTTTCATATGTTGGTAAGCAATTTCCCCTTTGGATTAAATTTAGTTCTGCTTTTCTTTAATGCTATTGTATTTTCCTTTCCCACTCATATATTAAAGTTGGTAAACCAAACTTAACAAAATGTAACCCATGAGTTCCGGAGTACAGTACTGTATTTGCAAGTGACATGTTGGTTCCTTTCTTCTGCTTTAAATGCTTTTGTATCAAAGCCTCTTGGCCCAAAGGGAGAGTTAGGGTGCCAACCCGGGGGATAATTAAAGGCCGCGTCCATAGTCCATTTATTAGCGAGGGTGACAATGGGGGATAGGTATGTCCACACAGCGAGGCGTCTGAGCCAGAACTAACTCCCGTCCGCTGTCGAACTGATACACTGTTGCCAAACCGGTACATACCCCAACAGAGTGGAAAACTAATGCTGCAATTTCTGCACTTTAAACATACGTACTGTACTGTATGCTGTACTCTCAAAGGTTGATTCCTTAGTACAGTATTGTGTTAATATCAGAGACTTGACCAGAAGATTAATTGTTCACTTGTGTCATGGTTTTGGTATATTGGTGGTAGTATGAGTGGATTATATTCTATAAAGATTATAATATGCTGTGTTTCTTATATTTCTTACCATAGAGTTCAATACCTTCACACTGGTACTTACCGGAGATTATGGCGTATCTACGTAGAAGTTCACTCCACCACTCGACATTCCATGATTTATATTTGGTAAATGATGATTTAATGAATTCCATTAATTTCGAACATCCATCTAAGTTATTGGTTATACTTTGTCATAACCAATCAGTCATTACCTTTAGTAATAATAAGATAGGATCACAGATACGGGCAGATAATTGCACTTACATTTATTTGTCAAGCTTCCATACAATGATTTACAATTTGCATGGATATATGAGTCACTCACGTTCACGCTGTAATAAAATTAATCTTCTAAAAGAGAATTTTCAACTTGGGGACACATGTGACTACTCTACTGTGGGTATGACTTAACAGAGCCTTAATTCTTCAAGTGATACATTTACTGCCAGCTTAGATTGTTTTTGTTGCAACCAGGCTTCTGCACAAGAACTTCTTTCCACGGGCCATAACAACCTAAAAAGTACTCTTGGGTTACCACACATAGTCTCGCGTCGCTGATAGTCATTGTAGATGGTTGTCGCAGCAAGGAGAACTGGTAAGCGTGACTTGAATTAACCACTTAGGTGCAATAGGCCAGCCTGGATTGCTCTTGTTGCAACCAGGCATCCACACGTGATATTTCCACTGGGATAACAACCTAGGTTAACACGCTTAGTCTCGTGTCGGCGACGGTCCACAGGATGGAGTGGCGGTGGAGGACTCTGTGTGGTGTCCCGCTCCCTTCAGGAGGGAGAGGATGGGGACGACGTCTTATCTAACCCATGGCCGTGGGGATACTGCTTAAAATGAGGTTTTTTGGTGTGAGGCGATGAACAGTCCAACACTGTCTCACTGGCCTCCCCCTAAAGGCTAGCTAACATACCACTAATGGAAAATATATGTCCCAGTTATGCCTCGCCGGGGGCCTTATCTCTAGTAAAACAACTTTGGAGTTGGTTGCGTGGGTAAGCCTAACGCAACCCATGACAACTTGTATTCTTATCTAACCTGACCTAACCTTATATTTTTGGAATCATAGATAAAAAAGCGTGTCCAAAATAGCTTGGTTCTTTTGAGCACTTTGTTTTGTTTTTTACCTAAGAATATTTTTCCTTTTCTTTTACAGATTCAGCAGCAGGTGTATATAATGCTGAGTGATCCAGTTAACAGAGATGATGTCGAAGTGTTGATAGAGGGGCCCAATGAAGTGTCAACGATAAAGAAATGGCGCCTTCGTAACCCATATACCATTGAATTTCGAATGCCAGGTCACTAAACCTTTTTCATATGTTGTTCGTTCTGTTCCTCCAAAAGCCTGACCAGGAGAACTATAAGACTGACTTTCCTTTCTCATTTACACTTTTAGTGCTGGACCACATATGAGTTATGTCCTCACAAGTAATTGCCTCATATTTTCAAATTCCTTGCTGTTCTCCATGAATTTCTGTTTTCTATAATTCCCTTTTATTACTGTGCTTTATGAGCGCAGAGGTCAAGTGGATACAGCGCTCACCTCCTGTTCCAGGGGTCACTGGTTCGATTCCTGGGTGCTCCCATTTCACCCATCTGTAAATGGGTACCTAGGTTTACAATTTGGGGAAGTGAAGGCGGTTGAGAGCAGTACCGGCCATGCTGCCTTCTTTTGTACTGAATGCTTAGTATACAGTGTGGTGTATCCAACAGACCGTCATCACTATGGGATCCACTTTCACTGTACTTTATTTTAGCTCTATTATTGCATACTATCACCTTCTTCTGTTACCCACTCCTCATTCATTACTTCTAGGAATCGTTATAAGGCTATTCTTCATTGGGCCAAGTGGAATTTTATAAAAAAAGAAAGACCACTGACCTAACTAACTCTTCTTCTAGTAAATCCTTCTGTCCTTAACCAAAAACATCTGTAATAACTCTTTTCCTCCTCTCTTCCAACCTGATAACTCTATAGCCAACTCTCCCTCTGATAAAGCCAAACTCTTTGGCACCATATTCTCCTCTAACTCCACCTTAGACGATTCCAACTCTATCCCCCGTACTGAACCTATGCACTTTCATATAATCTCCACTTGTACGGTTGCTGGTGTGTTATCCAGGTTGGATGTGAATACGGCTCATGGACCTGACGGAATACCCCCTCGTGTTCTGAGGGAGTGTGCTGAAGCTCTGCCCCCTGTGTTTGCTCGCCTCTTTTGCCTTTGCCTCAAATCTCAAACTTTTTATCGATGATTTACTTCACACTACGACTAATTCTATCCATTCTTATGCCGATGATTCTACTCTTCACTCTTCTTCACATTTTTCCCTTCCCCCTAATTCTCAAACTAGATCTGTTTCTAGAGCTGATATCATTTCATCTATCAATGCGGATCTGTGCAGCGTCTCCAAATGGGAAGGTAGAAACTTGGTTAAATTCAATAGTAATAAAACACAGTCTTTACCAATTACATTTTCCAAATTAGATGATCTCCCACCAATCACATTTCAGGATGCAATCATTCTGCCAAGTTCTAAAATCGATATGCTAGGTTTCACCATTTCCTCTTAATATGTCATGGAAGCCACACATCCTCAACATTGCTAAGCTGCCTCCCGAAAGCTGGGAATGCTGTACAGATGCCATAGCTACTTCACTCCTGAGCAGTTGCTTCAATGCTTCAAGTTTATAAGGGATTCATTCGTCCTAACTTGGAGTACTGCTCTCATATCTGGGGTGGCTCTTCTTCTGTCCAACTGTTAGATAGGGTGGAATTAAAGGCATTTCGTTTTATTAACTCTCCTCATTTAGTTGATAATCTTTCTTCCCTTTCTCTTCGCCACAATGTTGCTTCACTGTCTCTCTCTTTTACAGGTACTTTAACGGGCAATGTTTTGTGGATTTGGCATCCTGTGTACTGCCGGCAAGGCCGTGGGCTCTTAACATTCGTTTTGCCCGCGGTGCCCAGTTTCTCTGTGGATGTCGGTCACACTAGAATAACCTGTTATAGTACATCCTTCTTTCCTCACACATCCAAACTGTGGAATGCTCTGCCTTCTTCTGTGTTTCCATATAAATACAATGTTTCATTTGAAAAAGCTGGTTTTCCGGCATCTTCCTGGTGTAGATTAACATCATCTTTTTCTCTTTTATTTTAAGTCCGTTTACTCTTATTTTTTTGCCCCCTAGGCCCAGTTGTGGGTCGATGACCTGTGCCTGGTGGGCTATCCCCCCCAAAGGCAAGCTGGTGTACCCAACATTGCCTAGGTTTGTTTTTAATTAAATAACATTATGCAGAATGGGTGCACCTGCATTTCCTTTGTCCATCCTCTGACAAAATTAAGTAGTCCAGGAGGTCCCCTGGTTACAAACGGGTTCCATTTCTGAGGACGTTCTAAAGTTGGATTTGTATGTAAGTCGGAACACATGCTACGTGCATACCGTACTTACAGAGCAGTGCTTAAAATCCCACTTGTCATAGACTAAGTCCTTATATACATTTAAAATCACTGAATTTAAGACATACAATGACAAGATACAGTAAATAAAAGTAAAAAATAAGTCATTAGGCAAATAAAATGCTGTAAATTTCAAGTTTAACCTCGTTCGTATCGGCGGGCGCTCATAAGTCGGATGTTCATAAGTTTGGGACCCACTGTAATGTAAAAAATAACATACCAAATTTCAGCTCTTATGGTAAAACCTATGGTTGTGCACAGGAGGTGACCCCATGTAATTGTTTATGAGCATAAGGGATGCACCGGAACCATAATATCAAGTTCTGGCCGGAACTTGAACTTGCCAGAACTTTTACAATGTTCCAGCTGGAATTGGAACTTAGTGTGTTATAGCTATTAAAGTTGTTTTAAGTACATTAAGTACATAACATTCAGATAACCTAGTACTGTACTGTATGATGTTATTGGTCTATGTTAAATTTTTAAAGTCATTTGTCAAACTAAAGGGACGAATATGAAGGTTTAGATAACTTATTGTTTACTCTTGAAGTTGTTCCCAATCAGAGGGCTACAGTGTTGTTGGTGAGAGGTGGATCACACAAGCTTGTTAGATAACATGCAACCTTGTATTAATGATCCCTTCACTACATGTGGTATTTCATAAATTATATTAAGTTTTAAATTTTAGTTCTCCTTATTTATAAATACACACAGAACAGACGGTTTGTAAAGAACTTTAAATAACTGCAACTGGTTCTGTGGTGTGCCCTGAGTCCTTGATGTCATGTTTGTGTCTGGACGCGGGGCTATCAGAATGACGCGTCTAGCACTTGTCTAGTTTAACGTTCATGTCAGCTGCCTCACGCTCAGTGTCTTGTACTGTACATGACAGGTACAGTACAATAAATATGATTTAAGATTTAATAAATTGTTTGCTACACATACTGTACATCAATACAGGTGCTCCTCTACTTACGAACGAGTTACGATCCTGAGGGTTGTTTGTAAGTCCAACTTTACTCCTGTAGATACCAAACATATTGTAAAAAATGAAAAGATAATGGATATTTAGTACAGCTATACCCTTTAATACAGCCTTAAAACATGGCTCACTCTTCTCCTCTTAGGTAATGTTTGTTGTATCTGGAATTTTCTTCAAAATATTCCAGTCTCATCCACATTAAACACCTATTCTGGCAGGTAACCCCCCTTAGTGATGATGTTTGTATCTCTGAAAGTTTGTAAGTTGAAATAAGAAGCATTAATAGTGAATTATATTTTAATTTATGAAACCATAACCAGTACCACTATAAAAAGTTTTGGTTCCACCTAGTTATTTTAGCGAAGTTCCAGCCGGAACCGAAACTTTAAAACAAATCGAGGTTCTGGTGCATCCCTACCGTGCATAGCTATGAAACAGAAAAATAGAGTGTTTGTAATTAAGGGGTTCCATTTTTGTGGGTAGGGGAGAGGGTCAGTCACTGGGGCTCCCTCCCCCCATGTACAGCACACACACACACACACACACACACACACACACATACACACACACACACATACACACACACAAAAAAAAGCTTCATGACATTGTTGGGGTACATACAGTATGCATCTCAATATAATTTTTTTTTTTATCTTTAAAACTGTAGCAAGTCTCAAACACAGGGAGCATTCAGTAATGAATACAGAAGAGTGCAATGTATACTGTACAGTACAGTCCTGTATAGATACAGTGATAGCCTATGTACTTAAGACGTATGGGGAGGGTTTATGTTAACTCATAACTATGATATTAAATTATCTTTTATTTTCTTCTTATTTCAGAGAAATTCCTACGAGGATCATCTCTTCTGTTTGTAACAGTTCTGGTTGATAAGGTAGTGATTGGATCAAGACAGCTCAAGTGTGAGAGCAATATGGACGCACTGAGGGATATTCTGGGTAGTGTGACCAATCCTACAGATTTTATGTGCCAGGTATGACTTCTGTTATTAGCTGTACAGTGTCTAATGAGTATAGTTGTTAGTTGTAGAAACTATCAAATTGATAGTTTCAATTCTGTTTCTGATACCGTACATGTTGTACATTACATAACTACAGGAATACCCCAATTATCACAAAGGAACCATTCCTAAAAGTCTTTGCAAACAAAAAATTTTCAAATATTGGGACAATTTTCCCCAAAAGAATCTGTGTAATTAGGAGGGAATGCATTCCTAGCCTTGCAACTTTTGCCAGATATTTTCGATATTTTCTCTTCATTATCCCAAGCTATTAAGGACCAGGGTGGCATGTATAGTACTGTACTGTAATACCAGTAATTGTGAGGAATAAATAAAACTAATACTAATAAACAAAAGAAAAGAAAAAATGCCACATTGCCAGTTGGCAGCAGTTACATGCGGGCCATGGGAGACTGGAGCTGCTGAGATCCCAACACTGCTCCCTGCTCACACCATCTGTGCACTAAGAAATGTTTATTCCCTTCATGTGTTTGGCCTTATGACTGATTTTTTTTTTTATGAATGATTGTGTGCATGTAACAGAGAAAAGGGATAATGAATAAAATTACGTATATGTACCCGAAATTACAAGTTGAAAAATAACAATAACACCACTCACAGCTTGGCCTGGTAGGCGGAGGCTGAGATCCTTGACGCCACACCCCCCCTCTTGCTTCTCCTTCTCTCACTAACTCCCACAGACATTAAACAAAAAATCTTCATGTTTTCAACTAATGTTTTTTTTTTTTGTACATTCTAGATGAAAGATTGTGTGTGCAACTGTGCATGTAACATTATTTTTTTTAAATAAAATTACATACTGAATATCTACCTGAAATTGCAAGTTGAAAAATAACAACAACACAGCTTGGCCTGTTAGGGGAAGAGCTAGGGGGATGTAGCTACAGGGACAGGCTAACTTGGCAACAAGTTAAGTCCACACATACCTTCACTTCATACACACCCATGCTCATGATTTTTCTTATTTTATTCTAAGATGCTGTCTCCACAGATACAGGTATTATTATTTTTTAATTTGCTTTGCAAATATGTGGGTTATACTTTGTGAATATTGAACATGGGTGTTAAAATATAAATTGCAGAGTTGCAAATAACGAGGTATCCCTGTATTATATTTTTTGGCGTATGAAGTAATAATTTTTTCACCATTAATCACCAAAGAGAATGTTTACCTCTCTTACCATTTTCATGAAGTTTAAAGTTATGCTTCACTTCCTGGAAGTGAGGGTCATACTCTGTTTAACAGGATTGGTATTGGTCATGTATTTAGTAGAGATATATTGTACTGTACTGTACTAGCAAAATGTTCAGTTTTGTGGATAAAAATATTTGATTTTTTAAGAAAAAATTATTTATTTATTTATAAATCCTATGCATTTGAGGGTTTTTTTTTTAAGGTCTGTTTATCTGTGAGATCCTGTATCTCTCACTGCCAGATTTCATGTGCACTGTCCTGTTGTAGCCAAACTATACCATCATTCATTATGACCATGTCAGCTGCTTAATTTTGAGACTCAGAGTCTAAGACTAAACAGTAACTTCAACTGTGGTCCATTTATATGAAAAAGTTCATCTTGGTCAAAACTGGACTAATTATCCCTACAGTTATTCAAATCAGTGATATTTGAATTAGAAGGTTTTTATTTTGTACAGTTTGTAGATAAAAAAGTTGTGTAACTAATTCAGGAAGACTGATCACAAACACCTATGTTTTTATAACTGCTTCAGGCCCTAAACATCAGTCCAACGAGCGATGAACTGGATCACAAATTGGCAGTGTCAGTAAAACTTCATCTGCCGTGCAATAAACTTGAAGAATCAAAAGTACAAAACAGAGGTAAGTTGTATTACAATAGAAAGTTGAATGTCATAATAGATTTATAGTGTAAAAAGAAAAAAAAATGATCTAGTGTAAGGGGGGGATAGAATGTTTTTTTTCTCTCTATCTTTCTTTAATTTCTTTGTTTATGTTTTCTAAGTCTGTATTTCTATATGCTTATTACTTTATTTCTATATTTTATTTTTCTTACTTACTGTTTATTTCTTTCAATGGCATTTATTTATTTATATATTTAAATATTCTTTATCTTTCTTTTCTATATCTTTTATATTTGTTTCAATGTCATTATTGTTTCTTATCTTTCCTCTTACTTTTTTCAATATTTATCAGCGCTTAGTTATATTCTATACAATGGATTAACCTGGGAAAACCATATCATTCTTTAACAATACCTATTGGTATAATAATGTTACTCACAAGGGCAGACTGCCACCACCCAGGCTTTTATTAGAATATAACTGATATCAATAAAAATGATAGGTAGCGTGGTAGATATGAGCTTAGGCACGTGAGTTACAGTATTTATTTTCTGAGAAGCAATTGTTAGAAGAGAAAGAGCGGTGATACTCACAATGTACTAAATCAATATTTATCAAAATCAAAAGTGAATAAAATGGCAATTTAAACACACTCAGACAAGAATGGACCACTAGGTCTTACTTTGAGTAACCAAATAGATCTTAAATTATTTATTACAACATTAAACAAGTTATACTATTTCTTGGACAATAAAGATGGTCATTTTACACACTTGCTAATAGCATAGATATTACTATGTTCGTTATAACATCATGTTATTACTGAATGAACAACATGAAACAGGTACCAGCATCTCAGTTGGGAGTACACATTGATGGTTTACTTACAACACATATAACAAACTTTAACACCGGCAGTAGCAATATTCATGGTTTCCATACTCAACCTGGGACAATTACCGGTATATTTCTGCTAATTATCCACATTCATATACAAGAACACTCCGATGCACGGCTAGAGAGCTCATCTCACGGGTGTGTAGCTCCCATGGCGCGTTACTCCTTGGTTTTAATCTCGCTGAATTAAAGACATCCTGTCTTAGACATCTGGCTGGTAGGCAGCAACCGATCCACGGTAGCTGCGGGTATTCGGCTACAACAAACTGTGCCTGAGATACAAGGAGGGAAGCGTTACAAAGGTGTTTTAAAAGTCTAACTCAATTACACACAACCGTACGTCTGGCGACGACAGACGATATTTACGTTATGTTAATTCTTACTTGGCACATGAGAATTTCACTATGTTAAACATGAACACTGATATTCACAAAATTCATCTAAGTTAACGTGACTTAATTTGACGAGCGTGAGACACTAGTCATATACCTGAGATACGAGGAGGGAAGGGTCACAAAGTATCGCGCTCCCTTGCGCATGCGTTTATATACGAGGCTAACTGGCAACTCAGGCATGCCAAACAGGCAATTCAAGCATTACATACATTTTATTTAAATCAGTTGCTGTACATTTGGCTATGAAAATCAGTGTCATGAGTCAGATAAATTTCTTACATCTATTGTTTACAATCTAATCAGAGTTTGAGCTTGCCAGGCACTATTGAAAATTATTAATTTGAAATGGACGTCAAATGCACAAACTGACAATGTCTTTCTTACGACCTCATCAGAATTTATCAAGGGCTTACTGAGAGTGCCATTAGATCTTGGAGATAATAAGACTGACATATTCTTTTCAGGATATAAATCACTTTCTAAAATATAAAACTGACAATAATTTCAATACAAACATCAGATTCTCTGATGATTGGGAATCAAAATGATCTAACTTCAGCATCAGTTGGGAACTCGGGCATCCCCCAAGGGCGATATTAGGGATTTGTCACTTCTACTGGCAGACTCTACACTCACTTGTTTGACAAGTTTTACTAACAGTAAATACAGTTGAAGTTTTCAACATCACTCACAAGGGTTCTTGAATGTTCCATCTGTAATCAGACATATTTAATTTGATGCAAAACCATTGAGTTCTTTCTCAATTTCAAATCTCTTAACACAATATGAGGTATTAAGAAACAGTCTCTGAGGTACATGAGAGAAAACGGAGGATTCAGGCATACTGAAACGGTGAGAAAATGGAGGTCTCAACTGAGGGACTCAATAAAGAAGTTATCGCTACATGTTTTATGGGCTACTGAGCGTAATACGAATCGTCTGATTTTGCGTTAACTAATGTGTATGGCCGTGGTCAGTACACTAGAGAGTGTGATCTTTTGAACATGTTAGCAATGGCTAAACTCAAATCAGTGGTGTGACTGCATAGAACTGAGAAGCAGAGAGTTTCATAGACAAAAAGTGTGAGGAATGAAGGAATCAAAGTATGATATACAGGTAGTTTAACTAAGTGGGACTTTCTGGAGATAGAATTGGCATGTTAAAAAAATGGCATATGTTGCAAGAAGGGTTAAAAGGAGGGGACAGGTGACGATGGACTGGAATTCATTGATGCACTGACCATGTAAATGGAGGTAGAGAAGAGACAGATCACATTACATGAAGGGGAGGCAAGGTAGGAATGAATGACTGGACATTGATGAGGCAGAGGCAAATGGTGACAGAGCAGTCTTCCCTGTGTGTGCAGACATTGCTATTGTAAAGAGTAAAATCTTAGGTAGAAGTAAAGTATGGATGAGCCCAAAAAAGGAATGTTAAATGAAGGGCAGAATTGATCTTGTTTGTGTGAGACTAAAAGTTGTTGACTTGGTACCATTAAATGTACCATGGTTATTTTCACCCCACTGAGCTATGGACTCAAGATTTGGCCACTGTAATTGTGTTGTATTATTTAACTGATCTGCTGGGAGTTTTAATTGAGCTTGGGCATATGGAGCTGTAGGATAGGTGTTTGTGTGGTGTCAATGGAAATATGTCTTCTGCTGGAGGGGATGATTGGAGGGTGTTGATATAGATTAAGAAGAGGCTAGAAGATAGAACAGCCTCTGTACATGCTAACAGTGATGGGATAGTAGTGCGAGAGTGAATAGTTCTCTAGTCCATGGATTTGGTAGCTGAAAAAAAGGAGGAATCCAGTAAATTGAAGAATAGGGAGGTAAGAGGTCAGTAAAATGTGTAGGAAATATGATTGACAAGTGTTATTCCCGCAGTATTTAAATGTTATTATGTTTGGTTAGATCTACTGAGTTTGCAGTTGATACAATGTTGGGAGCTTTATACTGTTCCCACAGATAGTGAGGTGGCAACCCTCACACAAAAAGTTTCAGCTCACATGTTATGGGACTTTTTATATATTAAATATCTGTAAAAACTGTTTTATTGTCTTCCTATACAGATGGTAGTAAATTCCCAACTTGGATTCACTTCAGTGCCTATTATGGGTTAGAACGTCTGACTTGGGCCTTACTTGAAATTCCGGGAGGTGAAGCAGCTCTCAACAGCCCAAATTGCAATGGTCACACTCCTTCTGTCTTGGCTTACCAGAGGGGCTTCTCTTCACTGGCTCATGCACTAGAAGATGCAGCAGTGAGTAATATTTGAGGAAGATGTTAATACATGTACTGTATTTCAAAACTTGAATTTATTATTTCTTTGTGATCTTAAATTAATTGTAATGTGATCTTAGTTTTCTTCACAGCCTAGAACCAGAGAAAAGATCCCACAGATATTAGTTTGCTGTAATATTTACTTTATTGTCCCATGCCTTGTGTCCGTATGGGACTTGTGAATATGTTGGCCAAAATTTATGAACATGGATTTTTACAAGATCTAATATTTCACATTAATCAGTGTTGACTTTTTTTAGGGGAGTGGGGGGGGATAATAGAAGTTATTCATATTTAGTGGCAACCTTATACAGTAATGCTTACCTGTCCACTTAAATAGGTAGTTGTGATAGTAAATGACCAGAACCATGAACAGTACTCTACTGGTGTATATCTCTTATAAGAATATTCTCCATGGAGCTGAAAGTCAAGGTTTTAGGATCAGTTGCAGTTACAGTATTATGTATGTACGAAGCTCAAAGATTGTACTTGTTGATTTGGATGTCAACAGTGTAGAGTCTTGCTGGTGCTGAGAAATAAGAATACAGTATGTGAAAAAGATAAGTAAGCATAACAAACTAGAAAGTAAAAAGAAGAAAGCAGGATGTGATTGAAGGTAGAAGAAGGGTAACAATAAAGAAAATGAGAATATGTAACATACAACAAGGAAAAGAGAATTTAGAAGCAGGAAAGATAGAAAGCAAATACTATATCAAGTAAACAATAAAGAACAATAAAAAAACATGAATGTAAGAAACTGGGAGGAAGAAAAATTGGAAAATATTGAAGGTAGAGGCAAAGTAGAAAATAAATTACGAGTAAATAAGAAAAATAAAGAAGAAAAGTAAAATGATGAAAGCAGTAAAAGGTTGAAGGCATAAGTAAGGTGGATTACAAAATACAGGGAATAGGAAACTGACACTTACTGAAATGTCACTGTAGCATTTGAATTTTATGAGACTCACAGAAGTTTGTGCACTATTCCCCAGGAAGTAGCAGGTGTACAGGATAAGTTTCTGCTGGAGCTAAAGTTATTAAGAGGATTACTTTTGTGTATCTCATGAAAAATAATTATTTGGTTTTGGTGAATATCTTTGTTGTTGATGTATTTGATATATGTAAATTATAAAATTTTTCTTTAACTTTACCACTATAATTAGAAAAATTCGATATTAAGCTTGTACATTTTGTTTTCCTTGTAGATGGTGTCGTCTTTAGCGGCAAAGGTTGGTTATATGCCAACAAATGAAGGGAAACTTAACATGCCTGGTGATACTCTTGTAAATGAGGGGACTTACAACAGCCCACCACCTCCTCGACCTCTCAAAGCAAGTCAGACATCAGGATACGACCCCTTGCCAGCTCCCCGAGAAGTTTCTTGCACTTCACCATCAGGAACAGAGATTCCTGAGATGATGGTCACACCTCCTCCTCCTCCCCCCCCACTCTCCCCGGCATTAAATGACATATGTGATGCAAGATGGGAAGCCGTACATTCTCCGGAACTTCCTCCGCCGCCTCTCCCAGAGAGTTCATCTCAACACTTGTCTCCGCTGCCTCCTCAAGAATGGACGAAAGATAGAAATTCAGTGAAGCAAGAGGAGCGATATCTTGATATGAATGTATCAGGCAATTGCAATGATGGGAAAGTTTGTGGTAAGAAGCCTTTGTAGATTATTCTATATTTGGTTATTAATACAGTACAGTATATGATTGATGTTAGAATTTTAGGATAGAAAAGTCCCTCATAAGTAAGCTGTTGAAACTGAGGGCAATAAGATAAGTGGCATACTTTTCATTGTTAATTATGACTGAAAATACTTTATAACAGGAATGATTCCATAAGTGAACAGATTTTCATATGGATTCTCTTCTGTGGAGTTATTTACTTTATTGTATCTTCCACCAGAATATATTGCTTCTGTGAGTGATGAGCATGAAGTGTGCTTATGTATTCATACAGGAGGTCCCCGACTTTCAAACACCCTCCCGTACGAACAGGGTTAAACTTAATGTTTGCAGTATTTTATTTACCTGGTGACTTAGTTTTTACTTTTATTTACTGTATTTTTTCATTCTATTTCTTCTTTTGTCTTAAATTAAGTGATTTTAGATGTATATAAGGACTTACGCAATGATACAGTGGGATTTTAAACAATGTTTTGTAAGTACAGTGTGCATGTTCAGTAGTATGTCTTCCTACTTATGTATAAATCCGATTTACAAGCGTCCTCAGGAACGGATCCCATTCGTAGCCCGGGGACCCTCTGTACAATAAAATGGAAGAGTTTGGTTCTGGACCCTGGATATAAGCAAAGGTCTTAGGTATCTTTTCTTATTTTTGTGCTGATGTTTACAAAATTCTGAGCAATTTGCTATTTTTATCCAACAAAGACTGTAACTTGTCCATTAGATTTCATATGAATAAAAGAAACCAGAAGGTCTAGGAAGTACATGTGTTATTAAGTGGAGAAGAGGTCAAGTGCTTCACATCTTGCAGCAGCTTTTATAAATGCAGTTGACATCCATCCACCAGTTGACATCCATCCACCTTTGAGATCATTTTGTTTACAAGGAATAACAAACAAACAAACAAATAAAAAAATATATAATCAAGAAGAATGAGACTTTTTCCATTGTATATAAATAGATCTTACCATGATGGGAGTTGACTTCTAACCTGTACTGATACTGCTGTCATGTCTTAGGTTATAGGAGAGATGGGGAAATGTGTTGCCAGACTTTTCATCTATTCATGTTTTGTTCTGTATCTAAGGTATAATTCATGTACAGTAGACCCTTGCGATTCGTAGTAAGGAAGATGGTGGCTATGGTGGCTAGCTTGGGAGCCTTTTTCCGCAGCACAACGAGTCACCCCACACAGCATCTAGTGTTGTACTCTCAAAACTTTAGTGTTTCTGTGCAAAATGGCCCTGAAAAGACTGCCTAGTTTCAGTGCTAGTCATGCTAGTGGAGTGAAATGTAAAAGGCAGAAGTCAGTGATGACCCTGACAAAGAAAGTTTTATTATTAGATAAGTTAAAAGAGGGGATGAGTCCTGTGGCTGGTTGGTTGTTTGGTATAGGTATACAATTGTGCACTAAGGTAGTTCAAGTTGCTATTTGCGGTTTTGCCAATTCGCGCCATTTCTTGGAACCTAACCCTCGTGAATGGCAAGGGTCTACTGTATGTACTGTATTTATGCTGGACAGTATTTCAGAATCATTTTTCTTCTTATGACATTTCTACAGCACATGTGAAATTTATCTTCCTTTTGACTTCCTTTGCAGTATTCCACTCTTCCTAGGAATTAGGTATTAACCAACTTATAGTATATAGCTGCACACTCAGTCTAATCTTATTTGAATTCCTTAAACTTTAATTACAGTATACAGGTATTCAGTTGTTGATGATGACATATGATATTTTTGTGAATTTAAGATTTTTTAAAGATATTTCCTTACCATTTAATGAAATAATTCAACTTGTTGCTTCAGAATACAGCGCAGATGTGTACACTCTGGTAACAGCATGGATGGAGAAAACAAATATCAAGACATTTGTTGAGAAGCATCAAGAGAAGATTGTTGAGCTCAAAAACAAACTGGACTCAGATAAAATGAAGGAACATACGAATGAGCCTGCAGGTTAGTGTTCAGTGTTTAGACAAGAGCAATGGCTTTCGTTTTACCTCAGCTTGGAATCGTGAGGGTGGGATTAATGTGCATCTGGAGTCATCTAGATATCTAGATTTGTGTCTCTTTAGACATAATATTTAGGCATAATACATACCGTGTGCTGAAATTCTAACCCCTGTGCTTGCTCGCTTCTTTTGAATTTGCCTCAAATCCAAACCTTTCCTTTTTCTTGGAAGCATGCCTCAGTTCAACCCATCCTGAAGAAGGGTAACCATTCCAATCTCTCTAACTATCACCCCATTGCCCTAACTTCATCCCTCTCTAAGATTTTTGAAACTATTTTAAATGCTCATTTTCTCCATCACCTTGAACGTTTTTCTCTTTTGTTGGATCACCAGTACGGCATTCGCCAGGCGAGATCTACTGGTGAGCTGCTCTCCTACTGCACCCATCTTTGGTCATCCTCTCTTAGGGATTATGGGGAAACTTTCGTTGTGGCCCTCAACATCCTTGAGAACCAATCCATGGCAGTTGTTGTCGAGGGATCGATCTCTCGCTCTTTCTCTAACAATAGTGGTGCCCCCACAGGGTTCTGTTCTTTCACCTACTCTCTTCCTTCTTTTTATCAATGATTTACTTCACACTACAACTAATTCTATCCATTCTTACGCTGATGATTGTACTCTTCACTTTTCACATTTTCCCCTTCCCCTAAATCTCAAACTAGAACTTTTTCTATAGCTGATATCATTTCATCTATCAATGCGGATCTGTGCAGCATCTCCGAATGGGGAGGTAGAAACTTGGTTAAATTCAATAGTAATAAAATGCAGTATTTACCAATTCCACTTTCCAAATTAGATGATCTCCCACCAATCACATTTCTGGATGCAATCCTTCTGCCAAGTTCTAAAATAGATTTGCTAGGCCTCATCATTTCCTCTAATATGTCATGGAAGCCACACATCCATAACATTGCTAAAGCTGCCTCCCGAAAGCTGGGAACTCTGTACAGATGCCGTAGCTACTTCACTCCTGAGCAGTTGCTTCAGGTTTATAAGAGATTTATTCATCCTAACTTGGAGTACTGCTCTCATATCTGGGGTGGCTCTTCTTCTGTCTGACTGTTAGATAGGGTGGAATCAAAGGCATTTCGTCTTATTGACTCTCCTCCTTTAGTTGATAATCTTTCTTCCCTTTCTCTTTGCCGCAATGTTGCTTCACTCTCTTTTACAGGTACTTTAACGGGCAACGTTCGGTGGATTCGGCATCCTGTGTACCGCCGGCAAAGCCGTGGGCTCGTAACACTCGTCTTGCCTGAGGTGTCCACCATTTCTCTGTGGATGTCGGTCACACTAGAATAAACCGTTGCAGCACATCCTTCTTTCTTTACACAGCCAAACTGTGTTTCCATATTCATAAAATCTGTCTCACTTCAAAAAGCTGGCTTTCCGGCATGGCATCTTTGTGGTGTAGATTAATATAATCTTTTTTTTCTATTTTTAATTTCTTTTTACTCTTATTTTTTCGCCCCCGAGGCCCCGTTGTGGGTCGATGACCTGTGCCCGGGTGGGATATTCCCCATAAAAAAAAAAGTCTTCCATTTTTTAATGTGAAGCAGGCTAATGACACTTCTTGATGTAAGTATAGGGTAGTTAGGTTCAGTAGTTTGTATATACATTTTGTTTTGTAATGTTAGGGGACCACTTCAGGACCACTTCTGTGATACTGTACAGTACCATGATTACATGCAAATCTATGCACCTATACTATATCCTTAATCATTTCAATACTTGTAATGATTTTCATAAAAATTTCTTGTTCTTATTAAAGACTGTACTGTATTGTAATAGAGTACACTACAGTACTTGATTAAAAGGCTGAAGAATTGTTCATGTTGATATGAAGTCATTGGCTGCATTCCTGTATGGAGAAACTGGAAAGTGTGGAAAGGATTAGGGTTATGTTATCAAATATTCAAAAGATCAGAAAGTAGAAGGAAGGTACAAGTTAGAGAATCAAGATGTTTATGAGAAATAGTATTTATAGATAGAACTCTGTGAAGGCATTGTATTGTAGGTGACCAGTGTGTGTTTGTGTGTGTGAATTGTGATCACTACAAGGGATACTGAACATCCATTTCCATCTAGAATCTTTATTTGCTGAGTGACCTCTTAACTATCTTTGCAGTACAGTACAGCAGTGTTTCCATGTGTGAATAAAGTTAACCATTAATGCCTTGTAAATGTTTAATGCTGCAGCACTATATGTAGCCTCCTGGTCACTTTTTTTTTATAAAACAAAAGAAAGATATAAGAATTATGTAAATTTATTTGATAATTATTTTGTACATCCTTTTTGCAGAAATTTACTTTTAGAAATAAGTTGTGGTACAGAAGTTCATTTAAAAGTCTCCACACCTGAGGTATGGTGGACAGTACTTTGTGTAGCACTTTTACAGGCAGATTCCTCTTAATAAGTGATTTGTAGTCCTGAAAAGTGCTCATTAAGTAAATGCTTGTTTAGTGGGACCTATTTTCCTAGGGTATAAACTTTGATCTGTGCTCCAGCCCAAAGACTTTTAACCCTGCAATTGGTCATATGTGTGGTAGACACAGTTTACTGTGTGGCCCATATTATATTACTGCATGTGACCCATGTTCTAACACTGCATGTGACCCATGTTATAATACTGCATGTGACCCATGTTCTAATACTGCATGTGACCCATGTTCTAATACTGCATGTGACCCATGTTATAACACTGCGTGTGGGCCCAGGTAGCATTACTAAAGAAGAAAGAGCAAAATAAGGTGCTATATTCTGCTTCCATTACAGTTTCAGATGCTGAGGCCGGAGCAGCAGCTCTTCCACAAAGGGGAACAACAGATCAAAATGAGAGATCAAGTCCTGACTCAGCAAGACAGAAGACCATGGTGGGGCAGTTCTTTGGTCTACTATTAAGAGGTCAGCTTTGAAATTTTTATTGACTTTATATTAGGATGAACAAACAGGTATGCCCTATTTATGATGGAGTTAGGTTCCTGAAAATCCCATTGCTGGTCGAAATATCGTAATCACATGTAATAAAGTTAGAAACATCTTTTTTTTTCTTTTTTACCTAAATAATCCTGAGTAGCTTTTTTCTAAAAGTTTGGTTACATAAATAAATTTCAAATGACACATCTCACATGAAGCTGTATTAATTTACTCAAACACCACTGTACATGTACAATATATTGTAAATACTGTAAACAAAATTATGTACACTACTACTATACCTGTACTGTACTCACCAGCAGATGCTGTCGTCTTGAGCCTAGAATAGACAGACACTGTAATGGAGGTGTGGTGGGGGATTAGTGGATCATGTTACTGACTTTCTCATGCAGTGTCAGGTTACCCATTGTTGGGGTGGGGGATCAGAGGGAAAGCACTTCACAGTCACTAAAACTATGTACTATGTGAACTTTAGTTATGTCCTCTCACTGTAATGTAAAAAAACAAACAAAAAAAACACTGATGATGACTGATAAACATTGATCTCCTTTTCTTACACACATGTACGTAACCAAAAAGAAATGACTGGACTGTAGTTCACCAGATGGCCATGTGGCGGCATTCAGGTAGATGATGCCTCAGCTGACATATGAAGTGAGTGATGCGTTCCATAAAGGATGGACATATTTATTAGCGATAGGGCTTGGGTGTAAATGGGTCTACCTAGTATGGGTCAATAGGCTTGCTGCAGTTTCCTTCATTCATATGTTCTTAATGCGGGTTTGTTTTACATCGCCAATAGGGGAGTGGTCTTAATATATCAATATCGTTAACGCGAATTATCGTAGATAGGGACATCACAGATTGGGTGATACCTGTACAAATATTGCAGATGTACATTATTGTATTTTTTATTATACTGTACTGTACATTATTTATCCAATATGCCATGACCCTCTTGACAACTTGATGGTCCATTCTAAATGTTGATATTGACTTGACTTGGTACAAGATTAGATCATCTCACACACTTATGCACATGCTTACATCTGAAGTTGGAAGGTCAGTTACACTGGCACAATCCTGATGTTCTGCCTGTACTCCTTCAGGAGGGAATGAAAAGTGCTCCCATGAGAAGGCTTTTTAAATTCTTAATTACTCTGAAGAGGAGTTAAAAAAAAGGGGAAATATTAATTGAGTTCCACAGATTCCAGTCCTAAGAAAGAGCACCTGTTCTCATACAACCCTGAGCACACAAAGGTTCTTCACTCAGTCAGAGCAAGTGTACCATTGCTCATCTTTATTGTACAGTACCCAACATAGGAAATCATACAGCAACCTGATACTTTGAATGGAGTCCCCAAATAGCTGAACTAATGTTAGGCCTGCCATGCTAAACGTACAAACAAATATTCCTTATCTAAGTATCATAGTCCAAACTAACCTGTACAGCACTGACTTTGGGAAGCAGAATGTAGAAAAGCCGAGGTAAATATTCTGTTGTGACCATTCACGGAAATTGCTTAAAAAAAAGGTTTATAGTGTTTTTCATTCAGTTTCACAAAAAATATAACCTTCATATGAGTACTTTTGGACATACAGTATTATCTCTACAATTACTGTACTAATATTGTGGGATAAAACATGCAAATATGACTCAAGTATCAATATACTGTACATGTCTACTTTACCTAACCAGATAGACATGACCTAACCTGCTACCTGCCCCCCTGGATCCCCTGGAGCTTAAACCTAACCTAACTTTATCTTACCAAAACTTACCTTAATTAAAAGATGGAGGAGGACAAAGTGATGCAGTATTGTCCAACCATGTGCCTTTGAATTCAGAAACTGTAAAACAGTAAATACGAGATCTCTTTTTCTTCTGGAGTATCTGTCTTTTACCTGATGATACATGGTCTGAATTGCTATACACCTTAGGCATTTTACTGAACCATGGAGAACACCATGAGACCTAAAGATGTCAACAGCTATGAGTTCTTTCTCAAATACTCGTCTTCCAATGAGCAACTTTCACAGACAAGCCAGGTTCCCACTAATTAAAATTCGTCGATATTGACATTTCCGTTGATTGGCTGTATTAGGAGTAGACAAAATATATACCCGTGAAATTGTAGTTAGGTGAAATAAAAAGTGAAATAACACGAAAACTAAAAAATTCCACCGTAAATAATATAAAGTAAAGTACAGCTCCTCCCCGACCTACGACCTACTCGACTTACGTCCACCCGCACTTACGACCTGCCTCAGTCGTACCAAAATTTGATCAGATTACGTATTTTTGAGTCCCAAAGTCAGTACACAGACAAAATTTTCATCTGTAATTCACTTTAAAATGGCTGGCAAGCTTAAAAGTGAGTGTTTTGTGGTTCTAAGAAGAAAAAGAGACACCTATTTTAGATTTTCTATGTGTTATTTAAGCATTTCCGACTTACTACCATTTCGACTTACGACCTGGATGTCGGTCCATAACCCCGTCGTAAGTCGGGGAGCAGCTGTATTCTTAAGTTTTTATTTTTCTCTTTATTTCCCTATTCTGTAAAGGTAAGAATCAGTTCCGTGAATGGTTACTATGGAATTTGTCTGTTATTCTTTGAAATTGCTTTTTCAGAATAATGTGAGAAATCACAATAATAGCTGCAGTGTTTAACATGCTGTTCATGTCTCAGGCCGACGAAAACAACCACTTCATTTGGACCTGGAGGGATCACGTTCATTGTGTGACTTGCCACCAAATGACTACAGCGATGATCCAACTCATAGCAGCCCTATGAAAGGTAACTATATTGAGGTTTGGTTCTCAGTTGTCTTGTAGATTTTAAAATATGAACACATTATGTTTCACCTGTGAGACATTAATAAATTCCTGCATACTGTATTGTACAACTAATTTTGTATCAAAGGTAAATGCTGTTTGTAGAGCACAATGCCAGGCAGGCTTGAGTGGCTGATGCCACGGGCCAACCAAAAGTGAGATACAGTAGTCCCTCGCCAACTGTGGGGGTTAGGTTCCTGGAAAACCCTGTGGTTTCTAAATCTGCAGTTGGTAAGACCAAAGGCTAATGGGAAATAGGGGGTTAGGTTCCATGCTGCTGATAACACTCATGAAAACCAAACTCGTGTGTGCATTAGTAAACTGGCATTGTACTGGATAACCATAAGGCTCATAGGGGCATTGTGTTGATTCTGGTCCTCCATCCACATTGCCAGCATCTTTTCCACCTTCTCTATCACAGTGCTTCTAGTATGAGTCGTCTTAGTTGCACTCAGAGAAGAACCACTTCCAGCACTAACCTTAATCTTGTCAGTGTTGGTCTGGATATTATGCACCGTTGTGGGGGTTAGACCAAGCACAGCAGTTATGTCCACAGCACGTTCCCCTTCTTTAAATCGGGTTAATACTTTCATTTTCGTAGCAAGGGTAATGATCTTACGTTGCCTCTTCACTATACTAGTATCAGTAGCACTTGATGGTGCTTGGAAGCCATTTTGAATGGTTAGAGTACAGTTTTAGAACAAAAGCACTTAAGCACACACGAATGATGTGAAGTCAAAACAGAGACTGGCTTGGCGTCGCTTGGGGATGCTGTGACGTTTCGCGAGTGAGGGCAGCGCGCCGAGCCGAGAGAGCATAGCGCGGCCAGACAAGAGCGGGTGTTGCGCCTTAGAAAGTAGTCCGTGACGACAACAAAACGACATAGTATTTGATCACGGGGACGATAAACAAATTTTTGGTCTCTAAAGTTTAGCGACGTAGTACCGAAACCACGTTAAGTGAGGATTTACTGTACTGCCGTATGTTATCGTCTAGGGCCTGGGCTGTGGCGCCATTATCTCCTCCTTAGTATACAACACCACTTTTCTCATTACCCTTATCACTCTCCCATTATTGCATTAACACTGTGTATGAGGACGGCGATAACAATGTTATATGATGTTTTCTTTACAGAGACATCATCTGAGACTGATAATGAAACAAGCAGTGTTCCTGTTATCCCCCCAAGAAAGTTGAGTGACCCAACTGAATCCTCTTTACCTGCATCTCATGACTCTGTCAGTATATCTCCTGGTCCTGCAAGAAGTCATAAACTAGTAAAACTTGAAAACAAAAAGGTGGGTAAAAATTTATTATAATGATGGAAATTGGACGTTAAGCACACAAACAAAACAAACCATTCATTGTGTACTTGGTAAATCTTGGAGTTTGCAAAGTGGCACTGGTAGTAATAGAAAATTTGTAATTTACAGCATGCCATGGAAGCCACGCCTAAGTCAAGGTTACTAACAGAAGAGAGACTACCTCAGCCCCCCCCACGCTCTGAGCAATCTTATGATCCCTATCTACCAATAGAAGATATTAATGTACCCAAATATTATCAGGTAAGTGTCCTGCTGTTTATAGACCAAATAGTGTGAGTACATAGAGTACACTCTAAAAAGCATCTTTACGGATTGGTCCGATGAATTTAAAATGAACGCTGACTCATGTTGTCTCGGTAGGGTTGTCAAAATCCTTTGCACAATTGTGTCACATTGTCTAATACAATATCATAAAGATACTTTTTGGGTGTATGTATTATATAGAAGTTATAAATACATTTATATTGGCTCAACCTTCATCAACATTTATGATTAAAATTAAATCATTAAACAAATATGATTTTTTTTTCACCACTGATTGGCTCGTTAGCCGCTTGGGCGATCGGTCACGTCTCTGTCACGCACTGTTGGCAAGTACTAGGCATGTACTGGCTCTCTGTTATGCACTGTTGGCAGGTACTGGGCATGCACCGGCTCCTGAATGTACCTGAACCAGCTCCAGTGTTGGTCAAGTCTGGTCTTGAAAGAAATCACACTTGATGCCATCACAACATTTTCTGGCAGAGTGTTCCAAGAGTTCACAACTCTCACTCTGAAAATGTTTGCCCTCACAGTTTTCTGGACTTGCAGCTTCTTCAATCTTGAGCTGTGACCCCTTGTGGGGCGAGCGTCAGCCAGCTCCAAGAAAGGACACTCGACTGAGTCGTGCCCCTTGAGTTGCTTATAGTACACCTCAATTAGGTCGCTCCTTGCCCGTCTAGTATAAGCTAGGCAAGTTCAGGCGCTCCAATTTCTCAGGGTAGTTGAGGTGCCAAAGTGCAGGCACCAGTCTGGTGGCCCTCCTTTGAACATTTTCAACCAACAGACAGTCCCTAGCATATCTCGGGGACCAGACGGGGTGACAGTACTCCTGATGGGGAAGCACTTCACTCTTGAAGATCGTTACGAGGGACAGACCGCCTAGATATCTGAACGACCTTCATATAAGAACCAATAATTTATTTGCCTGATTTACCTTCTTCTCGCAATGGCCCGAGAACTTCAGCTCATTGTCAACATACACGCCTAGGTCCTTCTAACATTCAGTCTCAAATAGTGCAGTTTCTTCATCCCGTTGGGACATATGATACGCCTCCTTACCGTTGGTACACCCAAGGTGCATCCTCTTACACATCGTGACATTGAATCTCAGCAGCCATTTCTTAAACCATTCTTGGAGCCCACAGAGGTCCTTCTGCTGCTCTTCATAGTCCACTTGGTTCTTGATTTCCCAAAATAACTTGGCGTCATTGGCAAACATTTGTATGGAGGAGTGTACAACGTCAGGCATGTCATTTATGAAACAAACAAACAAACAGCAGCGGGCCCAATACACTGCCCTACGGTACCCCGCTTGTGACAGGTACGGATGATGATTTCGTGCCATTAATCACCACACACTGCTTGCAGTCATGTAGAAAGTTTTCTCTCCAAGTTAGGTCATTTCTCCGAATTCCGTACTCTTCTAGTTTGATTTTCAGCCTTCCGTGGGGTACACTGTCGAAAGCCTTGGCAAAGTCTAGGTATATATTGTCGATATTACCACCCCGTTCCAGATTATGGGTCCAAATATCCAATACCTTGAGCAATTGTGTTAAGCAGGAGCATCCTGGCATAAAACCGTGTTTATAAAGCTTAAAAAAAAAAAAATATTTAGGCAAGATTTTTTTAAAGAATGCTTGTTTAAGATTAACCATTAAGAAAGCGTTGGATATTCATGTTCAATATACAGTGCTCGTAAATTATGTAAGGTAATAGATGAGAAACAAGTGATTGCAGTTAACACTTTCCCGAGATATTTTGGGAATGGGAATACAGTCTCTCCTCGACTTACGACGGGGTTCTGGACTGACGACCAGGTCGTAAGTCGAATTGGTCGTAATTCAAAAAGGCGAAAATAATACATACAAAATCTAAAATGGGTGTCTCATTTTCTTCTCAGCACCACGAGAACTCTCACTTTTACGCTTGCCAGCCATTTTCAAGGGAGTTACAAAAAAAAGTTTTGTCAGTACACAGCGCAATCACTAATGTCGGGACTCGAAAATACGTAATTTGAAAAATATTTTATACGACTGCGGCAGTCGTATGTCCGGGTGGTCATAAGTCGAGGAGTACCTGTACAGGGATATTGCACTAAAAGTTGGAATTAAATTGTCCCTATTATGTAAATAAATCACTGGTGTTAGTTAAACCAGGAACATTTAAAAGTACATTATTGTATTTGGTTTAACAGGTTAAGTCACATCAGGAGGAGATGTCACGAAGTACCAGTAATTTGGTGAAGACCAACAACTCTCTCCAAAAAAAGAAAAGCTTCTCTGGGTCAAAGACTCCATCCCCACAGACCAAGAAAATGGATGACGACGAAGAACTAGATTATGTAACTGTGAATTAGTCTGTAAATACCTTACAGTACATCCCCGGGGGTTCAAAGTTACCATGATAATGTTTTTGAAATATCTATATGTCTGTTGACCAAAAAATCAATATAATGCCAACTTTAAACACTTGAATTTAGACATGTGTAAAGCCAAAGGTGTGTTGTAGAGAAAAGCATTTTTGTAATACACCTGAATTGTTGTAACCCAATGAAATACTACTAGAAACATATTTATACATGTATAAGTGATATCTCCATTAGCTAGAACAATTGGCGTAGAGCACTTATGGGAATGAAAGATTTCCGGGTAACGAGACAACTCTCTCATACCTGGAAAAAAATCCCAGCTGTAAATGGGTACCTAAATTTACAACTTGGGGAAGTGAAGGCAGTCGAGTGCAGTACTGGCCATGCTGCCTCCTTCTGTACCTAAGGCTTAGTATAGAGTGTGCTGCATCCACACTGTCCCTCATGGGCAGTCATGCCTATGGGACCTAGTTTCACTTTCACAATATTGGACAGAGGTTCTGGACTACTCCATGACACTTGTACTGCCTTGCAATGATGTACATTTTGAGACCTTGGAAGGCAGGTCTTGGTCTCAATCTTCATTACTAGGTCTTAGTACTGAAAGTAAAAAGTAACAACCAAATTGTTAATTGTCTCAAATATTAAAATAAATCCCCAGTAAATTATAGAATACCGTACCTGTACAAGTTAACTAAAGATAAAAATAAAAGACAGCAATACATATGTTTATTTGGAAATTTTTCTTTTGAGATTACCATATATTATGGCATATAAGATGCACTTTTTGTCTGAATAATGGCTACAAAAAACAGCCTGCTTCTTATATGTGAAGTTGCGGTCTCCTGCAAGCTAATGAAGCCCTCGTTGCTGTCTCCAGTTGGCTAAATTCTACCAAACCCAAGTCCAGAATTAAAATATGTTATTGCTTACTTAACCCCTACGCCCTGGGCTAGGGTGCTGCTGGCAGTACCCCCACACATGGGGTAAATCAAGAAAAATCAACTTTTCCAAAAATAATTTAAACCTTTTAAAATGAAAAAAAAAAAAAAAAAAAAAAAAATTATATATATATATATATATATATATATATATATATATATATATATATATATATATATATATATATATATATATATATATATATATATATATATATATATATATATATATATATATATATATATATATATATATATATATATATATATATATATATATATATATATATATATATATATATATATATATATATATATATATATATATATATATATATTGACCCTCTAGAAACTTCCCTGGGGCAGCAGTGGCAAGGGAGATAAAAGGACAGTGTTGTTTTGACAGGTAGCGCTCGTGGTCACTTCGCACTTTGCGGCCATTTTCTGCTTGCTTTTGTGTCCGGGATGGCCAGTAATGCTTATATTTACTGATCATAATACTTATTTCCTATAAATTATTCATTTAGAATTTATTTTATTTGCATTATTTTTCATAAAAAGTGTCGAGGGATAGTCCGAGAAGATCGGACAACTCATCAAGTGCACTGGCTAACCATTATCCTGGAACACGATCCACAAATCAATTAACATCCAGGTTCCCAATTACTGCTGGGCAGACATACCCATTCAAGAAGGCTTAAAAATTGTCATGTGTCCTTATGTCATACATTTATTAATGCATTAGCAATGTATTCATTGATGTTAATGTTCTGGCAAAACTGTTATTTTGTAATTTACAAATCTCGCGTATTGTTTCTCTTGTGTTACAATGGACAACCTTGCAGGGGCAGATCCAGGAATAGCAAAATGGGGTGGAGTCCAAGAAGTTGTAGGTAGGGGAACATGGTAAGCACAGCAACCCACCCAGCTGGGGGGTTTGGGGAGGGCGCTGTAACCCCCTGCCCAGGTTTTTTTTTTTTTAAATATGACTGATATCATGGACATTATGAGGCCACGTGCACTTGATATTAGGAGATATTCTGTGGTAAATTGTAATTACATTTTACTATATAAAATTGCCAGAGTACAATACTGCATTAAAGAAAAAGTATTGGAATTTTCTGATGAAAAGGGGGGGTCTTGACCCCCAGAACCTCTCCCCCCCCCCCTCCCTGGATCCACCCCTGCCTTGTATATATTATTATTTTTAGTCAAGTACACGTTAATTGCATATTTAGATGCCAACAAATACTGTACTAAACACACTAGCATCTGTTGTAAATAAATACTTTAACATTATTTTGTTGTCAAAGTCACTCTTAATGTCAGACTAATTGTAATAAGCTTGCAATGATGTACATGCCAACTTTTAACATCTGTATTGATTACCTGGTAATTCCTTACATTCCTTTTGATGTTCATGAAAGCTGTTATTTATATACTTTCATTCATGTACAATACTGGTACTTTCTCTCTCTCTCTTTTAGTGCATCGGTGACTCTCAAGTTGACCATGACAGGTTTATGCTTTTGTAGGTTTTGTTACAGAGAATCTGCCATGGTGAAGCATTCCTGCATTCCTCTAGTTAACAGTTCACCATTAGACTTAATTTTTACTGTTTGGGTCATCACTTCTCCAAAGTCAGGTGATCACTTCTTCCTTGTGGTTAGGTTGTATTAATGTCAATGATTCTATAGAAAATGAAACCCAATATAACTGAACCTCATTCTCTTTCGAGGGCTTCCAGTTCATACATCTTTGATGAACCTGATAGATATCTTGGGGCCTTATTGTAAAAGAGGAACACCATAGCAGAATACACACATGTTTGAGCAGTAAGAGTGGAAAATGTTTGTTCTTGTTTCCTGCCACATTGCAATAAGTCTTCAAGTTAAGATAAATTATATATGTTTGTGTTTGTAAGTAATATCGGTGACATTAAAATTTGTTATGTTATTAAAATGTTGTGTATATTATGTTAGGGAAGAAACTGGTCCATCTGAACTTGTAGTCTGTCCTACATGTTGTGTCATATGAGACTACGGTCAGGGTGTAAAGTGTGCTGGCGTGATGTATATCTTTACCCAATAAAGATGAATGGAATAAGGTTGATAACAAGATAGACAACATCCACTGGAGAGAATTGGTCTTACATACCTCAGGACCTTCAGATAAACTGGTATGAGAAGAATTTTGTAAAACTTTGGGGTACACTGTCAACTGTAGTTAGGTATGAACACTGTCAACTGTAGTTAGGTATGAACACTGTCAACTGTAGTTAGGTATGAACACTGTCAACTGTAGTTAGGTATGAACACTGTCAACTGTAGTTAGGTATGAACACTGTCAACTGTAGTTAGGTATGAAAAATATTTGTTGGACATATGAGAGTGCCAGACTTGATTTTTTTTTTTTCTTGTAATAAAAAAATGCCAGTGACCTTAGCATGAACTCGGTGTACTAATATTATAAGGCTTTTTTTTTTTTAATTCCTGGTGTATTGATTTTTTATTTACATTATACTGAACTGTACTGAATGTTGGTACTGTACATATACAAACAGTGTCTGTATTTTGTTTATTTAGTCACTGGTACTTCATTGTTGTAAACAAGAATTTTTTATCCAGATTGCACTAAATATATTTAGTAAGCATGAAAGGAGTTTTAACTGCAATAAGGACAAGGCAGATGAGTGAGCAACAAATTATTAACATAAAATTACTACATTACATGGCTCTATATATTACAACCACCAGCTTAAAGCATAACAAAGTGTGATGCAGTACAGGTTAGGTTGATTCTAAAGTCATGCAAATTTTTAGATGACACAGAATTTTGTTATGATTATTATCAACTAAATGAATGATGTGGTCCAACTCAAAGGCAATGATTTTATGTAGTTTTATAATGGGTAGTGTGATTATAGATTAACACTCCCTTGAAACTTTGTGTAGTGTGATTATAGATTAACACTCTTGGAACTCAGAATAACTTTTAATACTGCTGTAAAAAAAAAAAAAACTTTTTTCATACATAATAAGATCCCAGTATGTAATAATAAGTTGATATACCGTATATTTTTCCATTTGGGATGATCACTCAAGTAATAAGGAAAGAATAATCCAGTGATACAGTAAAGAGAAAATACATTATTTCTAATGCCAAATCTGGTATATATGATCCCACATACACACCTCAATATAAGTGTACAGTACTCTACTGTTCTGCATTGGTTTATACTTTGTGTGTACTTTTCTGTGAGTTGGAACCAATTACCCAATACAGGTATTCCATTGAAATAATAGATTCTGTTAATGAAATTTTTGGTTAATGAACGACTCTGTGGAACCAATTATGTTCGTTAACCGAGGGACCACTGTACATTAATACCTCCATTAGCCGGAATCCCTCAGACCCAGAACTCTCCGATAGCCGGAATTGAAATTTGCTCGGAAAATCATTCCCAAAGATGGAATTTTAAAAAAATTTCCGGCTTTGGGAAAAAAAAATTCTGAGGTTGAAAATCGAGAGAATTTTCTGAAAATGTCCTGAATAAAAATGGAAGCTAATTTTTTTTTGGGGGGGGGCAGGGGGGGGCCTGACCTGATGGAATGTCAGGTCACCCTTTCTTGGGTGGGGTATTACTGGGTCTCCTGACCTGAAGATGTCTTGAATAAATACAAACCGAATTATTTTTAGGAGATTGTGATAAGTATAAATGAGCAAGGTTGTATCCCTTCAACATTACATTTAGTAATACTTTAAAATATGGAGTGAAAAAGCAGAAAGGTGTGAGTGATTAGAGATGAGGGGTAACATGCACCTGTGTTGCCAAACGATAAACTCCTCAATAGCTGATCTTTTAATTTGCCTCCATGCAGTCACACAACAAGACCCTCACAGGATGCTTGTTGTCCTAATTCCCTTGTGTGTGTGCATGCCAAACATTCAAAGAAATATTGTTGAGCTTGTCAAGCACATTGTAGGATTTGATAACAATGTTCAGGAGCTATTAAACAGTCATGGAGAAGACCTAACTAATGAAGAACTCGTGCAACTTGAAGAAGAACACAACCGGAACACAAATACACCAACAGATTTCCCCTATCTCACTTTCTAATAAATTTATGACTAAGCATTTGGCAAAAGTGTTTGCTCACAGGGAGGAAGCATTTAACATATTTTCTGAAGTGGATCCATTAACAGAATGAAGCATTATAATTATCAGGGACATGAAAATTGCATATGACCCCTATATAAAGATGTATAATGAGTAAAAGAAAGCAACTGTGCAAGGTTCTTTAGACAGTTTTATTATTCAAAGGCCTAAACCATCAACTTCAGCTACAGCTACACCATCAATTTATGGTTCAATGGTTCAGCTACAACTACATCATCAACTTCAGGTTCTGCTACACCATCAACTTCAGGTTCTGCTACACCATCAACTTCTACATCAGTAGCAGGTTCAGCAACAGCTATGGTATCTTTATGGAAAGCTCCAGCTTCAGCCAGAGTTGAAGCCTACAGCATCAGATGGGGAACCTGATGACTTAGGAACTTAGTCATCTGAGGAAAAACTCACACAACATCATTGGCTATCCTTATGTTTTCGACCTTACCACCATTGGTGAGTAGAATTTTTGTTTTACTTTCATAAGCATTAATTAAAAAATATAATGACAGTAATAAGTGTTGCTTTCATATTCTTACGTAGAGAAATGACGCTTTGTTTTCACGTGTGCGCTCTTGCATACGTTGGAATTGCACAATCGGTCTCATTTTTTTTTTTACCATTAGTGGTAAAACTACTTCTGTTGGTCCATTTATTTACATTAAATAACATTAATTAAAAATGCGTATTCTTGTTTTTCATTAATTTTACTACAGCTACAACCAGGGTCTTATTTTCTTCAATTCCATAAGTGGAATCCTTGTCTGGGTGTAAACACGAAAACAATAATGTCTCGTCTCCTATTGTGTGTTTTAATCTCTTGTGTATTATTAATGCATTGTATTGTTCATTTTGCATACATGAACATTAATTCAA